AAGTATTATTGTTATTTGCTTTAAAAAGTTCAATTTAACGTGTATTTTGGTTTTTGAGGTTATATTTTTACAATAAAATCGGTTTTAAAATACTTAAGAGAGGGTTTGGGCTCTCGTAAAGTTACGACAGATATTGCACTTTTGACTTTCTTAAGAATTTTTGTGAAAACGGTTTTTATCATAGGTTTTCACTTAAAAGATCCACTGATCTATGGCTACATAATACCCGTCTCAGTACGGTAACGTCTTAGAATGCTAATTTGTAGCTCAAATATACCCGTCTCAGTAGAGAAAAAATTCTTGTGCGATGATTTGTGGCTGCATTATTCGTCTCAGTTGGATAAATTCTTAGTACTCTGATCTGTGGCTCCAATAAAGTAAAGTCTAAGTACTCTGACCTGTGGCTCCAATACCCGTCTAAGTAGGGTAAATTCTTAGTACTCTGACGTGTGGCTCCAGAAGACCCGTCCCAGGATTGGTAAAGTCGTAGTTCTCTGGTCCATGGCTCCAATACCCGTCATAGTAGAGTAAAGTTGTAGTTTTCTGATTTGTGGCTTCAATACCCGTCTCAGTGGGGTAGTATCTTATTCCGATGTTCTGTTGCTCTAATAATTGTTTCAGTTGTAGTGTAAAGATCTGTAAATTTAATACCCATTAGAGAAGGATAAAGTCTTAGTTCTCTGATCCGTTGCTCCAGAATACCCTTCAGTAGAGTAAAGTCTTAGTACTCATCTGTGACTCCAATACCCGTCTACGTAAGATAAAGCCTTAGTTAGTATGATCCGTAGCTCCAATACCCATTCCAATAGGGTAAAATCTTAGTACTCTGATCTGTAGCTCCTGAATACCCTTCCCAGTGAATTGTAAAGAGATAAGGAACAGTATTCAAGCTCAAAAGTCCATTAAACAATACAAATTTTGGAGCAAAGCAAACACGGGCCTCTAAAACATCAGAGGAGGGATCAGGTGCCATGGAGGAGTGAGCATCCCCCGGTCACACCCGCCGTGTGCTCCTTGTCATGATCGGGAAATAATGGAAAAAATCCGTCGACAAGAATGGCATAACAATTAGTATAAAAACGTCGGTCAGCATTTGACTTCATGATAAATTGTATTTACTGACAAGGTCATTGTATCGACCATAGAACTTGCAAAATGACTTTAAACGAGACTGGTGATATTCTTGTTTCATCAACTTGTTTTTTGAATAACTTACCTCGTTTTAGAAATTGTTCATAAGTAGAACATGCTCTTGCGTATGGAATCAACTGAGAGATATAAACCCCGTATGCAGGTGATGAAGGTATATTGCTGCATAAATAGGGAAATTTGACGAATGAAAAGCTAAAGTCATCACGTTCATCATAAAGTTTGGTTGTTTGATTACCATTAACGTCTTTTTTATACATTTTAATTTTTGTTGAGCTTTTGCGGGATACCCTGTGTAAACCTATAGGCTTAGAAAGGACATATTATTTAGACAACATAAACGTAGGATATATATGTTTAGGTGGGAACAATCTACTTTATACCATAATCCTTTTATAGAATTTAATTATTAATAGTGAATTTATTAGTGAGAGTAGGATAGAATACATGTGAGTTAAAACAGGATGGAATTCTAATTCAATATCGAATACAAGGACTGAACATATGGAAAGGGGCTTTGAGTTCTACGAACTAAGAACTATCCTCTATCTTTTCCTGGAAAAAGATTTGAATAAAATGTTGGTAAAATGTACTTTAATTTTCAATTTCTTTCCATCGATTCAAAGCTATAAATACCAAGATAAATAAAAATTGGTAAGAATGAGCAATTGAACTGGAACAAAATGCTGACATTCGAGTCAAAATTCCAAAGTTACATTCAAACAAAGGACAAAAGGGTGAAAAAGGCAATGACTGATATAAAGCAGTCCCTTCTCTGTATCGCTAATTGGGCGTGTACTATAGATGTGATATAAAGATTGAGAGTTTTCATTTTCATGCTGGAGGCAAATTGAGAGTTGAAAAATGACCTTTTTCTACAAATGTCCGGTTTCCAGAGCCTCTTTGACATTTTACCCTGAAGCCATTTCATCTTAAATGGGCCTGGACACAGTTCCATTGTTTACATTTTAAATTTCTACGCTTATTCAATAAATAAGACCAGTTAAATGCATTGAAATTACATTGAATTAATTGGCCGTGTCCTGTAGATGTGCACCAAGGTTAAGAAAGTTTCGTTCTTATCTCTGTTGCCAATTGGATTTTGAAAATTTTGAAAGATTTTAAAAGAGTACGGTACGAAAAAGTCTTCTTTCATTTTACGTTCTAGCTGTCTTTAAGATTAGTGGCGTCCCATAGATGTGAAATTAGATTTGGGAATTTTTATTTTTATCCTGGAAACCCATTGGGAGGCCGAAAAACATTTTTCTTAATCTTGTTTCAAATAATCCTTTTTCATTGTAGGCAGTAGTCATATAATCTTCAAAAAAAGAAACGCATATCAGAATTTTAGTGACTCATTTAGATATTATAGATACTTAGTAGAAATATATTATCATAACAAAGAAATGCGATAAGCAATAGGTCTATAATTTAAATGTCATAATTGTTCAAGACTCTTTCAATCGTAGACGGTTCTAGGTCATTTAAGATCAGAATCTTGTATGCCCTCCACAGACACCAATGATGGCCCAAAACTTCATCGCAATGCACACAGATGAGTGTATTGAAAACTATATAAGAATGCTAACCCACATGAAATGTAAAGCTTGGGTCAGCTGTTACAGAGTCTGGGGATGCGGTTGCCTTTTGGGGATATGCTTATCCATTTTGTGCCATGCATGATCAATGGGGTATAAATCTGGCGGTTTAGATTGCCAAGACAGAAAAAGATGTCGCAGCCTTGCACGGATGTGCTTGTTAAACGAGTTGTATGAAGCTGTGTATTGTCAGAATGGAATACGGCTCCAGGATGCTGCATTATTAGAAAGACATGTGTAGGTAGAACACTTTTCGAGCATCGTTGTGTCGTCAAAGTCCTTCGAATATGAACCAAATCAGTCCTGCTTGTAAACAAAACCGCTGTCCACATCATTTCACTACCCATACCAACTCTTTAAATCTCCCAAGTGAAGTTTTATGCAAAAAAGATCATTATGAAGATTATGCACTCTGGCTCTTCCATCAGGATTTGCGATAGAATTTTCGACTCGAAGCTAAACCAAACTGCTCAGCGGTGATGCTGTGTCCATATTCTGTTAATCGACATATTGGAAGACGGTCTTGTTTGATATTCTGTGCAGTTCAGGGATACCTAATGCTGTAGACGACGTCATTGTGGAACGTTGATGAAGATTACGCAAACCAATGAAGCGATCCTGTGATGCTGATGTCACACATGGTCTCCCATATTTTTGGTGATCATTTGCAGTACCATGCTGTTGGTATCTGTTTTATAGGTGAGATAGTGTGGTTTGTGCAACATTAAAACCTCTTGCAACAGTAGACTTGGGTACACTTGCTTCCGGTCGCCCAATTTACTTTTTGCCTTATGCGTCATTCAGATGCAGCGCTTTTTAAAAGCTTCAATTTTTAAACATACCAGAAACAAAATTTCGAGAACCCACACTTTTGATAGACCTTTTGTATCTGAATGATATTGATCATAAACCAACAAAAAAAGTGACAAAAAGACCAAATTTTAGCACTTTGCAAAATCAGGTCTTTTTGTCTGTGACTTTTTTTTTTAGAATGGATGTCAAGTTGTCAAAAGCGTTAAAAATTATGATTTTTTTCCGAAAGAATCATATTCCCTTTTAAAAAAATATTTAAAAATTAAAATCAAATTTTTCTCAAACACTTTTATTCAAAAGTTCCTTTTTCCAGACTAATTTTTATTTTATTTTTGAATTTTAGACTAGTTATTGTACTGGTAAAACAAAAGAGGCCCATGGGCCATATGCTCACCTGACATTTTATGATCAATTTAAAACGTAAATATTTACATCAATTATAGAATAATATCTATTGTGGCTTCGTTGTTGTTTACCCAAGTCCCAAAGAGACTATCTTACGAGGAAAACACTAATTTGCAATCTCGACAATCTTGAAAAATGCAAGTCGAATGATTTGTTTGCGTCGCTTAGTTTAACAATGACACGAAAGCAGACTGAAAAAAATGAAACAGGTAAAGATAACGATCGATCTAAAAAAAAAAAAAAAAACCTACAAACCCTATAAATCTGTGAGCAGGACATAAAACACGTACCCTTGGAAAGTCCAGAAGTGGGATCAGGAGGAGTAAACATCCCCTATTGACCGGTCACATTCGCCGTGAGCCTTATGCACTGATCAGAGAGACGGAATATTCCGTAGTAAAATTAAGTATTAAAATAAAGGCTTAACAATTGGTATGGAATATGTTAGTCAAAATACAACCCAATGATAGGTCATATTTGCTAACAATGTCATTGTAACGAACATATAATTTACGAAATTCTGACTTTGAACAAGGTTGTTGAAATGTTAAAACATACTGCATTTATACGCAGACTGACTTAAAATGTATTCATAGGGTGACGTACAATTTTTTTTTTTTTTATTTTCTAACTACCTTAAGTAAAAATGACGTTATTATTTTAAATAAATGAAAGATAGATAGGAAAATCATAAATCAGCTGGTATTTTGTTAATTTAATGGTTTCTTAATTTAAAAAAATGATTTTGAATCCCTAAAAACATACTTTTAAGTTACCGTGACTAGTTTCTTGACATTCTTATCAATGCAAGAATAATGGCCTATTTTTTTAATTTTAACACGTAAAATGTTAAGCCCTAGTGCAACAGAATTGATAAACGTTATTTTTATGCTCCACCAGGGATGGGAAAGCTTGAAACAAGGAAATGTATCCCAATGTTATATATAGAGAGAATTTTGTCTACATGCCAATTATGATATTGCGGAAAAAATCAAGTGCAGTATAATTGCTGCATTTCTCTCTCGAGTTGACAGTCTAGTGTGGCAAGTCAGAGGGACGCGATGTACGAATCTGTCTTCTTTAAGTGCCAGCGCTAACATTGAGTAAAACAACATGAAGACAAGGCATATTACAAAGCTTTTGCACTGTAGTATAATTTTACTTTTTTCAGTCACCCATGCAGGTATGTGTCTATATTATTACTTCTTTTAATGTGAAATATTTTTCATATCAGTTATACTAGTTGCTCTGGTCCTTCTTGTCGTCTATTCATTTAATTTTCCCCCAAATTTCTGAAACATGTATTTAAGATCATGATTTTATTTTTTTCTGGAATGGTTGGATAAACATTTTTTCATCAACACAACATTACATAAGTTGACGATGGAGAAGGTTATTGTTTTCATTCTGTCTTTTTTTATGCATGATTTCTTGGTCATTTAATTGTAAGCTTACAAAAACTGTTTTTGTTTACATGTTTTTTTGTTGACATTTTTTCTTCTTCCGCCAGCTGTTTTTGTCACATGCCTTGTCAACAAGGAAAGTTACAACAACTTGTGCCGTTAAATTAATACTTTGTATTGATATTCAATAATTGGTTTGTCCTTGCAGGAAACTGTCCAGATCATAAGTATCAAATTTGTAAACACATACAGAGATTTTTTTTTTTATTCCATTGAATAGTTGGCAAAGATTTAATTTTGTTCCTGGCCCGAGAGGAAACGGGAAATAATTTGTATTGGGTGTTGATTTTGGTTATTTATTTAATAAGTTATCACTATATGCAAGCTTCACAAAATTCTGCAGCACATATTGCATTCTAAGGTCTGAAGATTTCCTCTGCTGTCATTTAAAAAAACAAATTTTGTCAAACCTTAGGGAAAATAATCATATAAAATCATAAATGGGTTTCATAAATGGTTATTACACTTTGTTCTTAGAAAAAAAACTATTTTGAAAATGTCACTAGGAGTCAATTATTTCCAGAAACAATGAAAATATCTAGAAGTTATTTGCTAATGTATATGTCTATCTACGGATTTCTGAGACTTCAGCTTATTCCACTTCTGATGTTGCAGGTGTCCGTGTTTGCTCTGCTTCTGTTTTGTATTGTTTGAATGAACTAATGAGCTTGAATACTGTTCGTTATCTCCATATTTCATCTTAGAAATATGAACTTGTGACATCTCATCTTTATTTTTAAACATTTGCCCTTATGAGCCTCCTGGTGACATAATCTATCCGGAAAATGGGGAGCACTCCTCGACAATCATAACATTTCATATTGAAGAATCTCTCAAAAAACTACGTCTACGTTTTAGTCACTTAAAAGAACGTCTTAACAACTTTATTTCCTACAAATGCGTTATTTGAGTGACACCATAGCTGTTTTTTAAAATAGTTTTCAATATTCTATTCTAGTCTTGAGTCACATTTATGATTCGGCTAAAATTTTTACTGCATCATTGCATGACATTATCTTTTTACATGTTATTTTAATTAAGTCAAAACTTCATCCTAAACAAATTGTCTTTTCATTCGAAATCGCTCACTCCGTGATCGTAATGTAATGAATTTAAGCCCCACTGCGACAAACCAAAATAGGTAGCAACTTTTCCAAGCGCTCGGCACTTTGAAGTGAATGTTTCAGATCTGTCGGTTGAGACTTTAAAATCCTCATTGTTCAATGACCCTGGTTGTCGAGTACATGTTTAATTTGAAGTCTTTTCACAGGCATACGGTGACGTCTCATACAGGACAAATAATCTTCCAAGGCACCTAAAACAACAAACAATAAATTATTTTTACATTTCCTTCCCCATGGCAAGGGGTACATACTCCAAATTTGAATCTACACTTGATATGGAATCTTTTATTATCCAAGTGGGTCTCAAAAGAGGAACACAAAATTTATAAATACCAAGCTGTAATGATATTCTTTAGAAAAAAAGAGGGATTCATATAACTTAATCACTAAATTTAAGATAAAATCTTTAAATGAAACAGATAAGATATTTCATGAAAATGTCAAAAAGGCGCATATATAACCAATGATATTGCTGGCTTTCAAATAAACAGAGACATATATAACCAATGATATTGCGGGCTTTCAAATAAACAGAGACATATATAACCAATGATATTGCGGGCTTTCAAATAAACAGAGACATATATAACCAATGATATTGCTGGCTTTCAAATAAACAGAGACATATATAACCAATGATATTGCGGGCTTTCAAATAAACAGAGACATATATAACCAATGATATTGAAGGCTTTCAAATAAACAGAGACATATATAACCAATGATATTGCGGGCTTTCAAATAAACAGAGACATATATAACCAATGATATTGCGGGCTTTCAAATAAACAGAGACATATATAACCAATGATATTGCGGGCTTTCAAATAAACAGAGACATATATAACCAATGATATTGCGGGCTTTCAAATAAACAGAGACATATATAACCAATGATATTGCAGGCTTTCAAATAAACAGAGACATATATAACCAATGATATTGAAGGCTTTCAAATAAACAGAGACATATATAACCAATGATATTGAAGGCTTTCAAATAAACAGAGACATATATAACCAATGATATTGCGGGCTTTCAAATAAACAGAGACATATATAACCAATGATATTGAAGGCTTGCTGTATCCTTCTCAGTAGTAAGACACTTCCTGATTCAGTAATTCGGGTGATTTTTTTTCCAAACATACAACCCTATACTTGATACAGCTTGATGTTTCCATGAAACCCTTTTGTCAGATTTCCAAAACTGAAGATGTACATGTATTTATATGATATTAGTATACAAAATCAATTGGCAACTATTGATACCGTCTTATCAAATCCATTTTGTCACCAAAACGTAAGGGTGAAAATTAGTAGTATTAACGGAAACAACGAAAAAAAAAGACATCAAAGTGTCTGATACTATCTCAACCAGTGCACTTAAGACATCACTTAAAAGTTGTCGGTCATTTCTAGCTATAAGTAGAGAGACGAGAGATCGTTGAGGTGAGAGATCATTGTCATGCTAAAAGTCGCACAGGAAAGTACACAAGATAAACTGGTATCACTGCAAAATACTACAAATATGAATATTCTTATACTAAGCATTATATTTTACAATTCTTCAAATTGTATCCTTATTACTGGGAACACTTTGTATTCCTTCAATTATAATCCTTTGTTTTTCTTTTATTATTATGCTTATCTTGTAAGAAAGCATCTTTTTTATGACTTTTTATTACTTTATCCATCTGTATCTATCATTGTCAATATAACAATGTTTGAACTCTACTTGTTGTGTGATCAGAAAACGTATAACAGGAAGAAGTATTGATATCTGTGGTACTGAAATGACCAAATGCCATGATGACATGCTAATTCATAATGAAAATATACACGTTCAATTGTTAAAAATATTCTGCGACAAAAGTTTCAAGTTTTACTCTAATGACATCATATAATCTATTATTCTAAATTTAAATGGTCCTCTATTTTCAAACAAAACATTATATATGTATTTTCATCTTAATCGGTTCTACATGAAAGAACCTATGACATATTTCACATGGAGATTCATTCCTTATTCTTATGTTAAATTTTCAATTTCAAAATTTTTATTCTTAATATTTACATCCACACTTCCAGGCTGATTTTTAATGCATAAATTACAAGTTGATAGAAACAGGAAAAAATTATAAGTATTTCAACATTCAAGAATATTTACACAGACAATTTTTTTTTCCCGCAGCCAAAACAAAGCAGGTAATAACAAGTGGAAAAAGTATCATACAAAGTGAGAATTATCCGAATAATTATCCTGGAGATGAAGACAGGATGTGGATCTTCAACCAGACGGTAGGAATCTGGACAATGACAATTCAGGACTTCCATCTACAAGAGTCGGCACAGTGTCAGAACGACTACCTACTGATACGAAAGTCTCAGAGAGAGTTAGTGTTTTTACATCTTTCAAGAACAACAAAGAAAATGTAAAATTAGGGAATAACTGTCTTTTCCTTTGTTATTTGCGACCGTTAATTGTCGAGTTTTACCGACGACGCGTAAGCAGAGCCGGTAAAACGGATGTTTGCAACCGTTAAATGAGCATTAACGGTCACAAATAACACATGAGAAACAGTTATTCCTATTTTAATGCAATTTATTCATTTTGTTTGATGTTCACATCTTATTTTGTTATGATCATGACAAGAAGCACACGGCGGATGTGACCGGTCGGCAGGGGACGCTTACTCCTTCATGGTGGCACCTGATCCCATCTCTGATGTGTCAAGAGGCCTGTGTTTGCTCTGCTCCTGATTTGTATTGTTTCAATGGACTTTTGAGCTTGATTACTGTTATTATCTCCATATTTGATTATATGAAATATGTCACAGAAGCGTTGTGTTTTTGCTTCATTCCATTATGACGTCACAATGAAAAAGATGAAGATTGAGCGATCTGAAAAAAATCTAAAAACAATACAAATTTATGGACAGGGCATAAGACACGGACCCCTGGAAATATCAGAGGTGGGGTGAGGTGCCTAGGAGGAATAAGGATCTCCTGTTGACAGGTCACACCCACCGTGAGCCGTATGAATTAATCAGGTAGACGGAACATTCCCTAGTTCAATTTAGTATAAAAACAAAGGCCTAACAATTGGTATGAAACAAGTCAGCCAAACTTGTTCTCGAGACTGACATCTTTTTAAAAACACATGTAAATAGCTTGTTTTTGTTCGTGATTAGGACTCCAGTAAAGCTATGTGGTGTCAGGACTTCAGAATACTACATCTCAAATGGTCCGTACCTCAGTCTGGAATTCCACTCCGACTCCTGGAATCACGAAAAAGGATTTTCCATTGAAGTACAGCATGTTATGAATGAAGGTATGGCAAAACAAACGAAGAACTTCTACAAAATTCTTGATTACATGAAAAAATGTATTTAATAAGAAAACGCGTCTTTTTTTCTCGCTTTTTTTTTTTTGAAAATTATCAATTTCATCTCCTGTTAACTGAAGAATGTACTATGTTTGTAAGTTTAATCAGAATTGAAAATATAAGCGTATTTCGTTTTTTTAGCCCAAGCAAAATCTATTGTCAGCAAAAGAAAAGGTAAATATTGAATACTGTACTTTCTTTTTTTATATATGATATGCAGAATATCAGGGGAAACACCCTTGTGAGAATCTAAAACATATCCTAAAACAATATTGTTAAATATTTCACATTTATCTACTGTATAAATAACTAATGACTTGTGTAACAAAAAGCTTAAGAAATTAAAATTGAACTGAATAACCTTCATGTAAATAAGCTTAAGAAATTAAAATTGAACTGAATAACCTTCATGTAAATAACAATATTAGTAAGTGCACACTTAGAGGAGAGGAACTAGTAAGTTGATAGAACTTGTTTCTGATCCTTTTGATTGTCAATAAAATATGTTCAAAACAAAACAAATGCACACTTGATGACTTGTTAATAGGTACTGAGGTTAAGTTGGTGACTCACGTGGAACACGAAGGTTTGTTTATCGTCCTCCTCGGAGTCTTGTCCCTGGCTGCTCTCGTCTTTGTTGCAATGTTAGGATGCTTCATCGTTGGTATGATGAAAAGACGTCACGAAAGAGTGATTCAGCAGAACATGATAAATCGTCTGCAAGCTCAAAGCGAGAATCATGTGGTGGTCGGCAGACGATACAGCCGGAAAGATTCCGTCAAAGATCACAAAAGACCCGACTTTATGCGAAGCTTCTCAAACCAAAGCACAACCGGACTTCTTAGTTATCAATCCGCCGGCTACCCACAAACCGGTGATCATGTGTGAAGATGACGATCGTCATGAAAGCATCAAAAGCGAGCTGTTGTGTTGAACTGTAGAAAAGCAACTTTTCTTCGTGATCAGAAACCTCTTTTCAAATTTAGTTACCGTTACTTTCTGTTGCAGTTTGGTACCTTAACAAAAGTTTTGGGCCAACGACTTCCCTTTGGGGATTGGTCGTGAATAAAAGTTGTTTGTGTAATGTAGATGTATTTTTAAAACGATTATTTTGAAGTCCTCGTTCATGATGATTTTTTAACTGACCAATTGTTTTATATTTACGCATTTTTAGTTTATTAGTGACGGTGGTAATACCGTGCTTTTACGTTCAAAACAAATGTGAAAGAGTTGAATCTATACTTATAAGCTGAATATGTACGTGTTTTAACGCTTGCTTTCAGAAGTTATTTGAAGCATTCCTTTGAACATTCCGTTGCCAAACATTCACTGTGTAAATGCATCTTTAATTTGGAGAGTCATATGTAAATGAATTGTTTGCATATAAACTGTTTAATATTTCTGCCATCAATCAAAATGTAGAAATATAACATTTTTGTCATCGATAAAAAACACTGCCAATCAGCTGAGAATAATATTTTTTTTCATTTTGTATCATTTTTAACGCACACAAACCTCTTATTCCTTTTTTGTCAATTTTTATCAGAGATAAATCTTTTCTGTATTTCCGTCTTTACAGAGGAGGAAAGTCGTTCTTGTATCCATTTCATGTTGTTATCGTTGTTGGAAGGATTCATGTAAATATGTTTTGTTGAACAGCAGAAAAAAGCAGAGTTGTTTTGTATAAGGTATACTGATGAAAATTGTCGTTGATATAGCTAGTTTTGTAGAAGATACACTGATGAATATTGTCGTTGATATAGCTGGTTCTGTAGAAGGTGTACTGATGAAGATTGTCGTTGATATAGCTGGTTCTGTAGAAGGTGTACTGATGAAGATTGTCATTGGTATAGCTGGTTCTGTAGAATGCGTACTGATGAAGATTGTCGTTGATATAGCTGGTTCTGTAGATGGTATACTGATGAAGATTGTCGTTGATATAGCTGGTTTTGTAGAAGGTATACTGATGAAGATTGTTGTTGATATAGCTGGTTCTGTAGAAGGTATGCTGATGAAGATTGTCGTTGATATAGCTGGTTCTGTAGAAGGTATACTGATGGAGATTGTCGTTGATATAGCTGGTTCTGTAGAAGGTGTACTGATGAAGATTGTCGTTGATATAGCTGGTTCTGTAGAAGGTGTACTGATGAGGATTGTCGTTGATATAGCTGGTTCTATATACGGGTTTTTGTTTTCATTTTGTCGATACTGTTAATTATTGTTTTTTGCTATAATTTACTCATAATTCAATAAATATTGAATAAATGTAAATCAGTGTTTTTAATTTTTATGTAGAAGAAAGTGAATCTAAGCCACGCCTTCAAATTACAATATAAAAAATTGTTAATGAAGACAGATGCCACGTATTTCCTTAATCTGGTAACAACATGCATTAAATAAAACTGTCTGAGAAAAAAGATACTTCTGATATGAAACTGAAATTGCAACATCACATTTAAATGCTAGGAGATCTAAAATGACACATATGTTGTATAGCCACAGATCAAGATGATTTATGAATCCCAGATTCAATCTGATGTAAATAAAACATTCACCAGCAGAAGCAGAAAGAATTTGTTTATCAAAACGTTACATGGAATCATGATGGGGTGTTCACGCATCAATGTGGAGGATTGAAGTTGAAAATAATGCCCTTTCTTTTTACATTTCTCTTCAAATCTTTCACGATGTTTGAGGTATTATTCTGTCTTTTTCTGACCACCATACAAGTCTCGGCAAGGTATGTGGTTTATTTACGCTATTGTTGAATTATGCTAATACCTGCATTATCTGTGAACATTTTCTTTTCATTGATTTTTTTATGTTAAACCATCTATTCTTCTGCTTATTTATCTTATATGAAGTATAATAAAAAAAAGAATCCCTTTAGCCACTGTAGGTAAAAACAATAGCTAAACTGAAAATGAAAAATAAAGTGAAGAGAGCGAACAACGATCGGTCTGGGGTAAAAAAAACTAAAAACAATACAAAGCTGAGGATATAAAACACGGTCCCCCGAAAATTCCAGTGGTGGATTCAGGTTTTAGGAGGAGTATTTCAGCAACCCTAGCGTTTTATAAATAGTTGACGTGCAACCACAAGTTCTGCATAGTATAGCATTCTGACTACAACAATTTTTCAAAGTTTAAAGATTAATTGCTATCTGTTATTAATTAATAACGTTTACTGCCTGTCACTCTGAACTCCGGAATTGTTCAGATTAAATATGCAGAAATCAGCATTTCCTTCTAAACGTAATGTAATCCGTATAAAATTGATGCCATTATGAGTGGAATCATATGAAACTAATTTGAGGAGAGGACTTAAATAGGCAGTTATATGGCCGCTGTGCAATAGCATTTCCTTTCAGAAATAAATATTGTTTATATTAAATATTGTACAAATTGTTACCGTGTTACAATGAAAAACCATTTTCTGAAACATGTCAGTGTAAATAAAAAAACAAAGTACCGACCTCAGCAATTTTATTTATACATCTGAATTGTGGCAATTCATTTTCCGAAATTATCCATGCATTTGATCCATTTATCAATAATTGACGAATTTTTTCAAAAAATATTGTAAGAAAGAGGATTTTAAGAAATGCATAATACAACAAAAATTTAGGTAAAGAAACTTTTTTTTCTTTATTTGTCCCTGTTTTTGCATAAGGGAGTAACTAGAATTACTATTTAGTTTGAGTTCAGATGCTTTTTTTATAACGCAGATAACAATACGAGCTAGTTCCTTGAAGTACACTTTAATGATATAATTGTTGGACTTACTTCCTGTGAGAGATGGAGGTTTTTATTTGTGATTCAAAACAATTTAAGATACTACAGCTGCTTTAACGATATCTTCCCTGTCAATATTTATAGTATCAAAGAACTATAGCATAAGTGAAAGCATTCTAAAATCTTATATAATTTTATAGTTCATTATCACAAGATCCTATATCTCTTTTAAATATATAAATATATATATTTTTTCAAATTCGAAAACGATCTTACATATATATTTTTGATAGGATACTTAGTTTCTACACGTTCAGGAATATGTGATGATTTAATTATAGCAGCTTTTTTCGACACGTCATAGCTAATGATTTAAATTCAGTTAACAATGAAATATGGGAATAATGAACAGTATAATCAACTTCAAAAGTCCAATACCAGTTGGAACAATACCAATTAGAAGCAGAACAAACACGGACCTCTAAAACATCAGAGGTGACATCATAAGTATAATAATAAGTATTCCCTGTCGCCTGCTCACACTCACCGTGTGCTCCCTGTCACGATCAGGCGAGTATAAATATCCGTACACAATTCAATGAAAAACATTAGTCAACATTCGACTTAACGACAGATTGTATTTGCTAAGAAGATCATTATAATCGACCATAGAATTTTCGAATTGTTGACTTTAATCGGGACTTTTGATATCTTTATATCATCAACTTATTTGTCAATACCTTGCCTCGTTTTAGAAATTGTTTATAGTAGAGCACGTTCTTGCGTCAACTGGAAGGCATAAACTCCATATGCAGGTGGTAATTGTATATTGCTACATAAATGAAGGATCAGAAGTTGTACTACCTTAATTTCTCATTTTAAAAGGTCCAAACTTAAGAAACCCGGACCTTTCAATGGGCGACAAGATTTTTTACTTAGTATTTATTAAGCATGTAGCAATATACCATTATCATCTACATAAGGTGATTATGTCTTCCAGTTGGCTCGATGAACAGGAGCATGTTTTACGTACAAACACATACAATCTCCCATTACGTAGAAAGTTAACTGATGTTTCTCATACAAAATGTAAGGTCTGGTCCCACATCTGGCGTTTTCATGGGTCATGTATCCTCTGCTTGCAATTTGTATTGTTTTATTTTAATAATTTGACTTTTGAGCTTAACTACTATTCGTTATCGTCAAATTTCTTTGAAACATAATTTCCCCCACTTTTTTTTTCAAGTGAGTATGATTTCATTACATATATATTTAAAAAAAAAAATAGCTTCCATTGAAAGTTTAGGATGAAATTTTTATTTAATTTATTTCTAATTTTCAAAATCAAACCTATATCGTTAATTTAATTAGACTGGTGCATTAAATTACAATATGGATTCTAGCTACTATCTCTCAATTCGTATATTCTGGTACTGATGCGATTGACCTGGTAGTTTTAGAGGTCTGCATTTGCTCTGTTCCAAATTTGTATCGTTTCAATGGACTTTTGAGCTTGATTACTGTTAGTTATCTTTATATTTCCTTTCTTTGCCTTTTTCATTTGATGTAATTTTATTCAAGTATCATGAAACAAAATCTATAAACTGATACACATTCATTTTTAAAACGATGCATGTGACTTTAAAACAATTGTGTGAAAACAAAGGAAAGATAAGGAGTGATGCATTCATTTTTATGACACACCAAATTGAAATTATTGATTTTTTTTTCTAATTAATGTATATGTACATATGTTATATACATACATTGTATATATGTTATATACATATATATATGTATTAATGTTAATGTATATAATATACATGTTAGAATGAAATAGAAATTAAATACTGCATTTTAATAAAAGTTAATTAGGCCATTATTTACACACTGAATTGTCGCCGAATTTTTCGTTATTTCCCGATCATGACAAGGAGCACACGGCGGGTGTGATCGGTCGGCAGGGGATGATCACTCCTCGATGGCATCTGATCCCACCTCTGATGTTTTTAGAGGTCCGTATTTGCTGTGCTCCAAAATTTGTATTGTTAATGGACTGTTAAGTTTGAATACTGTTCGTTATCTCCATACATTTCATTATTCACATACCTGATCGATTTCAGTCCAACATACGTCATCACAGCGCCAGACGTGTTCCGTGTGGATTGTGACGTCACAGTGACTGTGGATTTGGTTGATATAGACAATGTCTCTATGCGGCTTTCTTTACAACAATATCCTAACAGAGAAACAACATACCATACTGTCGATTTCAAGGCTTCTTCAGGTGTTTTTTTTTTAATTTTTGTTGCTTTAATATCCCTCAGCTAATACCTTGGGGAAATAATTTTTCTCTTCGAATTACAATTGCAGTCTTCTGTTTGGGATATATTTTTTCTCTATTGATTCAAAATGCAAAATATTTTATATGAATAGCTTTTAACTCATCCTAAATTGACATCAGAGTCATGAAGTAAAGAGAATAATAAACTCTCGTGTTTTTTAAAGAAATATCTTCATTATACATGTATTTGTATTATTGCAGGTATGAACAGAGTGAAACTGAGAATCAACAACGCCCATTTTAATAACAGCAGTGATGACGTAGAACACGCCTATCTGGTGGCGACCTCTACCGATCCAAGAATGACGTTTTCACAAGAATCAGTGGTCCTCGTTAGCAGGGACTCCGGTTTTATCTTCATACAGACAGACAAACCAATTTATACTCCTGATCAAGAAGGTAGAAAAACCTTAAAAATAAACAAAAATAATTTTTTAAAAAAAAGAAAGGGCAGTATTCAGGTAACAACTGTTTGTTTTATTGGGATTGGTTAAGATAAATGAAAAAAATATTCACTAATCTTTGCGAAGTTTCTTTATCCTTTGTTTATATTTTATTAGGTAATCGTTTGAATTAATTATTTTTTTTAGTAAAAATCAGAGTTGTTTTGCTGAATGAGGACAGATTGCCTAGTTCAAAACCTATACTTATCGATGTCAAGGTAAATTAATGCAGATTAACAGGTACTGTTTAAACCCTAAATGCAATTTTATGATAGAAATATTTTAATTTAACAATTATAGTGAGCAGTGGCTTTAATATACTTTTATCTAATGTTTTCTAAAGAATCCTCAGGGCATTATAGTACAACGGTGGAACTCCACGTGGTCCAGGCGGTTTATCGCCCACACATTTGAGTTACCAGACATTCCTTTCCTTGGCAACAACTGGACAATAGAGGCTTCTCTTGCAAATAATGTAGTTTGAGATTAATGTACAGCTAGAGTTAAAACTTAAAACAATAAAATCAAAAGGAAGTCATAAATAGCAATCACCTTATGTTGTAAAGATCAGCAATAACTCACTGACCTGTTTAAATGAAATCTTGTCTAAATTGTTAATTGTAATATATCAGTATAATTCAGTGTGATGTCAGTGTTTCATTACAGAATGCACTCAAGACTACTGCTGTGTTTGAAGTCACGGAATATGGTAAAGATTTATATTTGGAGTGAGTGGGTCATTTTAGAGGCATGTATTTAACCTCACAAAGCTAAATAATCATATTACTTTTTCCTTACAGTGCTGCCTCGAATTTCCGTAGACATCGACGTTGGGGATACAGAGATAATCTTACCCACGACGGATCAGATTGAAATAACTGTCAAGTCCAGGTAGTAACATTTTATTCAGTGGATATTTCGATCACTTATTAAGTAAAAGCTTTCAAGCAACAGCCTAGAAGCCAGTTGTATATTCACTTCCTTACAGATATGTCTATGGAAAAGTTGTCCGTGGTGAGGCGTTTGTTTCTCTGGGAGTTCAAGTCGATGGTCGATATGAGTTGTGCCATTTCAGACTTAACCAGATGGTAAAACCTTTATTTAACCATGATTCTATAAATATGCTAGTTTGGACATGGAACTTAACTAAACTTGAGTGCTTTGTATACGTCACATTCACATCGATGGCCCTGCTTTCATTTTGACTGTTTGAAGCGTCAATATCTTTTCCCAACACGTTGTCCACGTGCAATTTCCGCAACACAGAGATAGGAAAATTGGAAGAGGCGCTTATATTAGCCTCTAACAGTTTTTCGCGAAGAACAACAGCGGACCAATTTAAATAATTTGTCATGTCAAGAGAATCACCGGAGGTTCTTTGTCTTTTAGCACTTCTCCTGGTCGCCATAGTTGTTTGAGATACGTTGATTTTTTTTTTAATATCGCAATTTCACTAATTAATGAAGTGTTTTTCCCAGAATTACATCGTCAAGAACACAATTTAAGTACACTGAAAGTAAATACACAAACAAACAAATCGGATGATCGATGATTATTAAGTAAGCCTATGGATTAATGAAGACAATAAAAGCTTGGTACTGACGCTGTCCGGGACCATCGAAAGATAAGAAGTCACGTGACTAGCTATTCTTGACATATTGACCAATGACTGATGGACATGAAAATCAGCATGTCTATTGCATAATATTGGTAAACGTAAACAAAAGCAAAGGGGGGAAAGGCTTAGTTAGGCAAATTGTATGAAATAAACTTTGCTTAAAATTTTAATAAAATAATTTAAGCTACAATATACGCCGGTATTTGTTGTAGCTCTCCTCTGGTGCTGCCACGTTCAATGTCAGTATGGAAGACGTGTCAAACAGTCTACAACCATACTGGTTTCCAGACGGAGCCAGATTACATATCGAGGCAGAGGTGATGGATCAAGCCTCAGGCCGCAAAGAAAAGGCGTTTGATTGGTCAGTTGTGTTTGCACTGCGACCATTCAGAATATCAGTTGAAAGAACCAGGTTCTACTTTAAACCAGGATTGAATCATGAACTCCAAGTAAGCACAATTCAGCAATTATAGTAAATAGTTTAAGTTCCTTTGTTCTTTTTCGTTTCCCAAATGTCTACTCAGTACAAATAATAATCTCAAATTGATGTGTACACAGAATACTTTTATTACCAACCTATTCAAACCTTTACATCTGCTGCAATATTGGAATATTTACCATTAATAGATACATACCAACTGGGTCAATCGTCATAAAGCCAAACATATTCCACTTTCATTGGCTACAACTCGTACGTCTAAATATGGTATAGCGGAGGAGGACCCTACACAGCGTCTGACGACTGATGGTGACGGAAGGGTGGTGTACACGATAAGTACAAGAACCCTGGACGAGAGGATACAGTTCAGGGTATTTTTCGTTACTGTACATATTAAAGAAGAGTAAAAAAAATATTCGTAATTTGTAAATATAAAGAAATTGTCACACTTTCAGATTAAAACAAAAGACATGCGCTTTGAAGCAGGTCAACAAGCGAGTTTAACGGTGGATATCAATGCAATGAGAACAACATCTCGTGCCTATATTAGTATCCAGGCTACTAAGGTATTAATACGCTCGACAAAATACATTTCCTTGTATTCTTTGACATATGACCTAATTTTTAATGAAAAAATATAGACATCTTAAATTCTGGAATAAGCATTACAATCAAGACAGTGTTGCAGAAATGTAGGTCAATCTTAAACCATATCTGCTCTTCTTACAGAATCAAGACAACATTCAAGTCATCATCTTCACAAGTGAAATATTCACGAGTAACGTAACCTACATGGTAAAGTGCTTTAAGTGTATACACTACAAAAAATAACACTCTTTAATAATGGATGACAAGCTGTATTTTAAGTACTTGACGATTCTCTGTTTCTTCAGGTATTGGGTCAGGGAAAGATTCTGACTTCCGCTTCCGTAACAATCTACAGCGGTATCCACGCTGTTATAATACCTATACAAACCGCCATGACACCTCGGTGTAGAATCCTAGCTTATTTTATCAAACAGACTCCTCTGGGACAGGAGATTGTATCAGACTCTGTAGAGATGAGTATCGAGGGCATGTGTAAAACTAAGGAGGTAAAACAAAGACATTCAACCATAAAGCATTATAAGAAATTTACAAACTTTACAAAAACCTATCAAAATGTAGTCCTTTATAACCACTTCTTTTTGTCTGACCTTGTACATGTTAATACCTTTTGGACATAAGGACATCAAGATGAGTGGAAAAGAATATGATAAAATGATCCATATAAAACAGTTAGACACCAGTGTACATGTAATGTACCATCAAACACTGAGTACAAATCGTTTGTTTTTAGCTTACCACCAGCGTAGATGATGAAGTAGTCCTCCCAGGCGAGTCATCTGTCCTGAGAGTGACCGGGGCCCCAGGGAGCACGGTGGGGTTCGTTGCTGTGGATAAAGCTGTTTATCTATTGAAAGAAAAAGGGTTTCTGACAAAACAAATGGTAACTTCATCATAAATATTTAAGACTATAACAGAAATGATAAAGATTTTAAGTCAGGAATATTGTAATATGAATTCTTATACACAGCTACTACATAAACAACAATTCTGTGCTGCACATTTTGAATTTACAACATGTTTTGTTTGTCAAAAACACAAAAATAAGTTTTCATATGATTAGATTGTCTTTGTTGATTTAATATGTTAACGCAAGAATTTTTTTTAAGAACAAGGTACGGTTTCAATACAAATCTTGCCCGATGTTTTTCTTAAAAATGAAAGTGATGTAAAAAATTAAAACTCATGCTTTCTGAATCATTGAAATTCCATTTTCTCACATGACCTTCTAAATGCTAATTGTGACGTCATGAACTTGTGCATTTTCCCGTAATTTCCTTAAAAGTTGCATAAGACACCAATTTTCAATGGAATTTTCTTTCAGATAATATTGTCCACAGGCATCCCCACAAAGATTTTGAGATATTTGATTTTTCGTAGAATTTTACACAACATATCTGAAAAATAAAGTGGGCGACGGCTGTGGACACTATTTTCTTAAGGAAAGTAACCCTTCAAATGGGTCATTTTGAGGCTTTTTCTGTTTAAAATAGAGAAATCCATTAAATTAATGACGTCATATTTCAAGAATGGTACTCCTCCATGCCATATTCTTTCCTGATTTATCACAGTCATATACTCAACTAATATTTGAGACAGTTTCAAAACTTTTAGAAAACATTAAATTTTTAGGGCACAATAAAGCTAAAATTGTACCTTCTTCTTTGTTATATATATTTATTTTTTATTCATGTTTGCAGCTTTTTGAGGATTTTGACAAGCACAGTACGGACTGCGGATCCGGGGGAGGGTACAGTTCTCATCAAATATTCCAGGTGACTTAAATATTTTATTCAAAATTTGTCATTAAAAAAACTCCTGAATATTTTTTTTTTTCATATACTAGTATACTGTTTAAATTTCAATATCAATTATGATATCCAATTGACCATGAAGGATTCTGGTTTGACGGTGATCTCCAACATCTACATCCGGGTATCGCGCCGTGACGACACAGGTTGTAACAGAATTTCCAGAAGGCGGCGCTCATCTGGTATACTTTAAGTTTTCTTAAGAATAACGTTTTGATCATGTTCGAATAATTATTATGATTTACATTTGAAATTATGCATTCTATTCTCTGTTTGAGCATGAGGAAATTGATAACAATTTAAATTTCAATGATGTGATATATTTTGTAGACGAATTGACCAATATAATTGACACACATCCTTGTTGTGTGGCTGGTGATCTTTTTGGGAGAAATATTACAAACCAGTTGGAATGTTTTGAAGAAGGAAAAACGGTTTTTAATATAACCGGAAGTACAGGTTGTTCCAAAGTTTTCTACAAATGTTGCAAACGCTTTTTGCCGTTTGGCCCACCTTCCCCAGGTTTGTAGCTCATCATAAATACGATCTGTACTAAATTTTTCATTTTTAACTTTGTTACCAAACAAAAAAAATATTACGCTGTTCTACAGGTGGGTACTTAATATGAATGGCGATCTGGATATAATTATCAGCGTTAAGCTTATACCAATCAAATTGTCACGATTCTAGGAAAGACAGTAAAAGATGAGGGAAAAGAATACACATTCCGGGATATTGATAGTCAATTACAGCTGTTAATGCGATCTTATTTCCCGGAATCCTGGCTATTTGAGGAAGCAAACTTAGAGTAAGTGTTCCTTAAATCTGGGAAAAAAAAGGTTTATCGTTCTACGCTTTATATAATAAATACAGGAATAAAGGCGAAGTTATACCAACCAAGTTATACCAGACTACCGATGCTATCATAACAGTATTACAGAGTTTAGCTAATATCTACATACCACCAAAATCGTTATGTTTTATTTCTTATGTATACTTAAGGAAGCATATCCCTCAGCAAGGGATGGGATAATAACATTTGAAATATGCATCTATATTTCCTAGGTTTAAATGTAGTAACTTTCATTTGGGGCTTCGAAATATGATTTTTAAACCTTTGAAGTGAATTCAAAAACATTTGCTATTTGATATCTGCTTCTCGCAAAAAGACAAACACGTTTTGAAAGATATTACACTTTCTCCATGCATGTGCCCTAAATAACAATGTCATTTGTCTTTAATTGAATTGCGATGCATTGCTATAATGTTAGATGGCTTGCAAAACTTTGTTGTTGCATAAGAACTGATCGAGGTTTTGTAAGAAATTAAACATCCTTATATGTACGAAACTATAAATACATGTACAACTTTAAATGCATGGACACATAACCTCTTGTCTTAAAGGGCAATTTATCAATTTCAACTTGAAAATATTACATTGATGCATCTATCACGTTACGGAGGAAAAAAAAGGAATTTCCTAATTTGCCTTATCAAATAAGATATTTATTTTGATCTACAAAAATAACTTTGTTTGGTAAATTTAGCCATGTTTGCAAATTGTTTAAGTGGTGCTGATTTATAATACCCGAGGGATATAAAAACCTTTGTATTTCATTTTTTTTGGAGATTGAAGTCAAGTATCATACATTCGCTCTGAGTGTTAATTTTATGCATGCATTATATTATTGAAATCGAACAAAGTAACGAAAACACCAATAAGAATCAGACCCTATTATTACAGTGCTGATGGTAACCACACCGAACTCCTACAGACGCCCCACTCCATCACAACTCACGTGATACACGCAGTCTCCCTGTCGTCTGCTCACGGACTGTGTGTGGCGGATCCTGCTGAGATTGTCGCTTACCAAGATTTCTTTGTAGATGTCGACCTTCCCTACAGCATTGTTAGAATGGAACAAACCGAGATCCGCGCCACCATTTACAATTATCGAAACACCAGTCTGCCAGTAAGCTTTGATACTGAATATAAATAACAGGAAATCCAACAATTTAATTGTAAAGATCCTAAAAGATATCTCAAAAAATGCATTGCGTCCTTCACAGACAAATATGTAACAGTATTTAAGAAAATATTCTCTCTTTTTCTGTAAGAGAATAGCAGCTATTTATTTCAAAATTTTAAAAAGTATTTCGAAGTTCCCTCTTTTTATCCAGCGTGCCTGATAACTAGGATGCTTTTCTTATTATTTTATTTTTATGCCCCCGTATCGAAGATTCGGGGTATATAGTTTTTGCCCTGTCCGTCCGTCTGTCTGTCTGTTTGTTTGTCTGTTTGTTCGCAAAAACTTTAATATTGCCCATAACTTTGATTGATTGGAGCTATGGCTTTCATATTTCACATGTGTATTCCTTGTGACAAGACCTTTCTTTGGGTACCACCATATTTGACCTTTTGACTTGGACCTTGGGATTGACCCAGTTTTGCAAAAAAAATTCCCAACTTTAACTTTGGCCATAACTTTTGAAGGATTGGTTCTACGGCTTTCATACTTCACATATGTATTTCTTGTGACAAGATCTTTCTTTGGGTACCAACAACTTTGACCTTTTGACCTTGACCTTGGAGTTTGACCTACTTTTGGAAAACTTTAACATTGGACACAACTTTTGAATGGTTAGTGCTAAGGCTTTTATACTTAGGATATGTTATCCTTGTGTCAAGACCTTTCTTTGGATACCAACAACTTTGACCCTTTGACCTTGGCCTTGGAGTTTGACCTACTTTTGTTAAACGTTAACATTGGCCATAACTTTTGAACGGCTGGTGCTAGGGCTTTCATACTTCACATATGTAATCCTTGTGACTAGTCCATCCTTTGGATTCCAACAACTTAAACCCTTTGACCTTGGAGTTTGACCTACTTTTGAAAAACTTTAACCTTGGCCATAACTTTTGAATCGCTGATGCTAGGGCTTTAATACTTTACATATGTAATCCTTGTGACAAGACCTTTCTTTGGATACCAACAACTTTGACCCTTTGACCTTGGAGTTTGACTTACTTTTGGAAAACTTTAACCTTGGCCATAACTTTTAAACCGTTGGTGCTAGGACTTTCATACTTCACATATGTAATCCTTGTGACAAGACCTTCCTTTGAATACCAACAACTTTGACCCTTTGACCTTGACCTTGGACTTTGACCTACTTTTCGAAAACTTTAACCTTGGACACAACTTTTGAAAAGTTGCTGCTAGGGCTTTCTTATTTAACATGTTTTTTTCCTTGTGACAAGACCTTCCTTTGGATACCAACAATTGTAATCCATTGACCTTGACCTTGGAGTTTGACCCACTTTTGAAACACTTTAACCTTGGTCATAACTTTTGAACGGTTGGTGCTTCGGCTTTCATATTTCATCTGTATATTTCTTGTGAGAAAGCCTTTCCTTAGGCACCATTAATTTTGACCATTTGACCTTGACCTTGATGTTTGAATTACTTTTGAAAAAATTGAACCTTTTCCATATCTATTCAATGGTTGCTGTTAGGGCTTTCATATTTCACAGGTATATTCCTCGAGATAAGACCTTACTTTGGGTACCAACATATTTGATTTGCATTTGAGAAAGTTAAACCTTGCTATAAGTTGCCATACGGGGGCATCAGTGTTTCACAAACACATCTTGTTCTTCAAACTTCAAAAAAGCATAAATAGAAATAAATCACATATAATTCTGTTTAAGTGAACTAAGCTACAAATACATAAAACTTGTTTTAAATTTCTCATATTAGTGTCGAATCTATATGAACACAACCGAAGAAATCTGTTCCTCTAAAACCGGTACGATATCCGTTAGAGTCCATTCCAATGATGCAGAAACTGTCAGATTTCCCATAGTTCCTCTACGTGCTGGGAAATATCCAATAGAAATCATCGTAAGATCTGTCGGTGTCGGTGATTTGGTGCGAAAGATCGTCTATGTGATTGTGAGTAGACTTTTTTCCTTCAACTTTTTCTTTGAGTGTTTTAAGCGATGATTTTTAGTGACTGAGATTTTTTTGTAGAATGAGGGAAAGGAAGAGAGAAAAACTGTATCCTTCTGGGTTGATCCTCATCTTCAGAAGGGAAGACAACAATTGCAAGGAGATTTACGAGTGAATAGTAGGCATAATATAGCTTGATACTAACCGTAAAAGCAATATATTACCGTTAAATAAAATTGAATATACAAAAGTGACGTGTTTTTTTTTAGTTTCACATCCACAAACAACTCTGGGATTGCAGAAGACAGATGTAGATCTTGTCCTTCCAAAAGATACCATTCCAGGGACCGAGCAATGCCAGGCAGGCGCCACAGGTCTCTGATTATAAACTGTAAACCAGCTTTTATTTGTAGCATCTTTCATAAAAAGAACACGGTTCCTAATACTGATTTTGTGATAAAGTCCTCTTTTTTAATACTATTACACAAATGACTGCTACTTGCATTTCGCGAATTTCCTCATTATCGGAAAAAGTACGAAGTCATCTAAGATGAGTAATGTGAATCGTACTCTCTCCCTTACGTCTTGAAATCTAGGTAATATAATGGACTCCGTTGTAATGACGGTTATTGATGACGTAGATCAGCTGTTGAATCGAATTCCTCATGGATGTGGGGAACAAACGATGATCACTTTGGCGCCAATAGTGTACGCACTGAAATACTTACATGGAACAAACCAAATTCAAGACCATCATAAAGTGCGGGGCCAGAGAGTCATAAGTAGAGGTAAAATTTCATGCTTTTTCATTCAAATTACTTGACATAGACCCTGGTGTTGACCACTCTTAAGACTACAAGTCAAGACAATCACTTGTTCTTTTCAACAGGATTCCAGAAGTTACTTCGTTTTCGAAAAACCAACGGCTCTTTTGCAGTATGGCCTCACAAACCTTCAAGTACGTGGTATGTTTACATAAATACTTGTTACTGAAACATATCTTAGTACGAGGTATGTTTACATACATACTTGTTATTAAAACATATCTTAGTACGAGGTATGTTTACATAAATATTAAAACATCTCTAAGTACGTGGTATGTTTACATAAATGTTAAAATATCGCTAAGTACGTGGTATTAAAACATATCTTAGTACGATGTATGTTAACATAAATATTAAAACATCTCTAAGTACGTGGTATGTTTATATAAACATTAAAACATCTCTAAGTACGTGGTATGTTTACATACTCGTATATATTATTAAAACATATCTTAGTACGTGGTATGTTTACATATATACTTGTTATTAAAACATATCTTAGTACGTGGTATGTTTACATATATACTTGTTATTAAAACATATCTTAGTACGTGGTATGTTTACATAAATACTTGTTATTGAAGTATACCTGTCTTTTTTTTTAGTATGTTCGTTCATTTAAGTTTTATTTGACATTATACAGGCTGACTGCTTTTGTACTGCGGGTACTCTGTGAAGCCCAGAAGTACTACCACATTGATGAACAGATCATGTGTTCTGGAATCCGTTATATTCTGTCCAAACAACGACCTGACGGAGCGTTCGATGACGAATCACCAGTCTATCATAAAGAAATGCTGGTCAGATTACACCCTTTCATTGTTGGGGTTTGCATACTGTTGCTCTTTCCACATTCTTAGAAGACTTAAAATAACTTCTCTTGAAAACTGCGTCAGAGATTGTAGATAATCTCTGTTCCTTTGTTATAAGTTCTATGCTTACTAGTTTGGTTTGAAAGTGATTTTTCGAGTTTGCTCCTTCTATGCTTTGTAAAAAATATTTTAACTGATTTCTCCTCTTTAGTTGTTCATTCTGTGTCAACTATGGAAAATTATTGATAATTCCTTTTTTTTTTCGTTGCTATAATCTACCTACCCAAAATTCTAAATTTTTTTTTTTCTGTTGTTTCTTATTCTTTGCTCACTAAGGAAGAATTAAAACAATTTTAAGTCTTCCTAAAAAGCTCATCTGTTAGACAATTCACAGAGTAGAAAGTTATAAGATAGCAGGTGTAAGGGGTTTTTTCAGGTTTTCGTGTGTTCTGATATCATATGTACAAATACATATACCACTAGTCTGCATATTGTATTTCAATGTATTTTGAGACGATTGATACAGCTTCACGGCCAAAAAAAGCAGCATAATGGATTTATTTCATCACATGGCCGATCACTGCTGTCTTAATTAAAATATATTAAATACTCCATTCAAAAGTTACTAGAATAATAGTTTATTCCATTCTTCACATATTCATTTAAAATATTACATTTCTGAGATGGATTTGATGCATTTTTATTTAGATATTTACCTATGCTTTTCTAGGGAGGAAATATTGGTGATATTTCCAGAACTGCCTTCATCTTGATTTCTATTAAGGAATGTAGCTGTAAACCAGAGGTAATGGCCGTTACACTAACTTCTCACGCTGTTATACACTTAACATGCATGTAACAATAACTTTCTGGAAGTGACAGTATTTTAATTAAGATTTGTTTTCATTAGAAAAAGAATAAATTTCAAGGACAATTCAATCACATACAATTTACATAAACATTTAAATTAAAAATTGACATCGACCAAAATATTCTTTATTTATAGTCTAGTCTTTACTGGCAGGATTTTCCGTTGATTGCCATTTATTTGTAAATAGTCAACAATGTCAATGTTTTAAACATTGACAGTTAATGAAAGTCTTATAGCAGGAGTATTTAATTTACAGTAAATATTTTCGTTTTTTCTACTATTATGTGTTTATCAACAGGGATCCGCCATCAACATACAGAGGGCAGTACGGTACCTAGAGAACAATTTATTTTACGCCAGGAGGCCCTATTCCTTAGCTATAACTACATACGCTCTCGACCTATCCAATAGCGACAAAGTACACGCCTCCAATAGAAGATTAAAACTTCTGGCTAAAAATAAATTCTTCACGACAACTGGAATCGACGGTAATATTCCTATTAATAAATTTAAATACCAGCTTACTCTTCATTTTATCTCTAATGTGTACACTTTATCTAAAGACATATTGCTGATTATTATGTTCTTCTTTTCATTTTTGTTTATAACTTTTTTTAATCTTGAATATTTTTTTTACCTTACCTAGATAGGATAACTTGAGGAATATAAGTATATAATAATTTAATTAAATAGAAAACAAGTAAATAGACAAAATAACATATCAAAAATTCTTCATACTTCATCCACGAAAAACAGTAAAAGAAATACTTTAAAGGGCTCATGTATAGAAATAAAGGAATATTGATTAATCATTCATCGTGAACCTTACCTTTAAAAATTTCTTCTCCTTTACGTCAAGGTGAATCAGCTGCTCATATAGCCGTGATCGTATAGTGGTTAGTACTTCGCGTTGTGGCCGCGACAACCCAGGTTCGAATCCTGGTCACGGCAGTGGCTGTGCAGTCGCTGTTACGGCAGGACAGCATATTTTTAGCTCGCCTGGACTTCAGTCATCGTGTAGGTCTCCCTTACCGGAGTTATTGGTGAAGATTCTTTGCAAAAGTTGAGGGGAAATACTGGCAATTCTTATTGTGCCTCCATCTATATGTATCTTTATATTTCAAAAACATGTTAGCGAATGAATCATTTGTCATCTGTAATTTAAATTACAAACAACTACTAGGTTAGAAAAATTACATTTAAAGAATTGATTTTTTTTCCTCATTATATGGACAGTACCACGTTGTAGATGTCTTACAAGTAGAAGGTCAACATTATTTATAATAATTACCATTGTTATATATTTTTTTTTAAATTGCTGTGGACTGCATTTCAATATTCATATACATGTATATCGACGACGTTCTATAAATTATAAAATTGCATTCCTTTGTCAGCTCTATAAATTCAACTCAAAACATTTCCTGTGAACACTGAGCTCAAAATGATATCCCACGCTCCCTGTATGAGTATAATGGCAAAGTGCATTTCTTGGCAGTATGTAAAGGAGATTCTGTGAAAGTTGCACTGAATTTCATTCAAGGGTTTAGAAGAACTTGTGTTAACAAAATGGCAAACTGCATGTTTTACTATGGGAAACCGCAAATATCTGTCCGATCAAAAAGTAATATAGTAGGCGCACAATTCCACTAATAAAGATTCTGTGAAAATCTCATTAAATTGCATTCAGTGGTTCATGGGAAGTTGCAGATAAGAGGCGGGTACCCCCAATGATAATTACATGTGTTGAATGACAAAGTTCATGTTTTGTATGGGAAACCCCAAATATTTGTTCTATCAAAAAGTAAAATAGTAGGCGCTCTGGCACTATGTAATAAAGATTCTGTAAAAGTCCAATCAAAATGCAATGAGTGTTGTAATCACCTTGCATCATTACTACGTTACCGAATGGGATAATAATCATCCGAGTTGCCTCTATTTCACCTAAATGTTTTAGTGTGCACGTACTTTTGCTTATTGACTTGGGCGTCTCTAGTTCTTGGCCAATGCTCTCGTGATATTATGAATCAGGATTTATATACACATATATTTTTGTAATTACTTTCAACGAGCTATTTCTTATGTTTAAAAACGATTCCGACAAAGAATGGTGGAATTGTATGATTGATTGATTGAGTTTATTATTTTGTTAAAAAGCAGTCTGTTTGTACACACTAGTACTCTGAAGTTGATATAAAAAGATGCTTGAGTTTCTTATTGACAGTATCTATGGAGCTTTTGGAGATCAGGTCTTCCAACAATCTGTTGGAATTTCCATGGGTACCAATTCCAATTTGTATTCATATGAAGCAGAATTTATTCAAAAAGTTCTACATGAAAAGAAGAAAACACTTGCTGTGGCCTTCAACTCGACATTTGAATATATCGACGATGTATTATCAATTAACAATAGTTACTTCCATTCGTATGTCGACTCGATATATCCCAGTGAGCTGGAAATAAAAGATACCACAGATTCTGATACATCTGTTTTATTTTTGGATATTTTACAAGAAAAAGACTTTAATGGTAACCTAACAACAAAGCTTTATGATAAACGTGATGCTTCAATTTTTCAATCGTCAACTTCCCTTACTTATGTAGCAATATACCCTTATCACCTGCATATGGGGTTTATGTCTCCCAGTTAATCGATACGCAAGAGCATGCTCTACGTATGAACCATTTCTAAAAAGAGGCAAGCTATTGACAAAAAAGTTAATGAAACAAGGATATCAACAGTCTCGTTTGATATGATCATTTCGCAAGTTTTATGATCGATACAATGACCTTGTCAGCAAATACAACATATCATTGAGTCAAATGCTGACTGACGTTTTTCATACTGATTGTACTTGGTCATTATTTACACACTGAATTGTAATCGAATTTTTAAGTTTTCCTGGTCATGTCAAGGAGCACACGGCGGGTGTAACCGGTTGACAGGGAATGCTCACTCCTCCATGGTCATTATCCCACCGTATTTGCTCTGCTCCCGATTTGTATTGTCTACATGGACTTTGAGCTTGAATACTTTCGTTATCTCCATATTTCACTGATTGTGTGTTGTTTTATGTCTCATTTAAGAATTTTTCACTCATATAGAGACGTCACCATATACCAGTGAAGGGCTTCAAATTTAGACTTTTACCCGGCACTCAGTGAGAGATCTTTGTCGTGTCAATGTCTGCCGTGTCAGGTGTCCTCGATTTTTAAGATTTCATCCTACCTTCACTTCTTATGCCGAGCGCTTGGCGAAGGGACAGTCCTTACTTATGTTAGCACACTACCAGTAGGGTAGTGATAATTGTAGGCGATTTTATGTTAACAGACATTTGAAGACGGAATACAACTAAACAATCAAGCAATGAGAATGTAAATCTTTTACATATTCATTCTTTCATAATGCAATTGCAAACCTCCTATTTTTTGTTTTGATCAGACAGATATTTGAGGTTTGCCATAGCACAACCCGGACACTGCCATTCTTTCTATAATACTGGGGGTACCCATCTCTTATCTGCAAATCCTCCTATACCAATGCATAAATTTTTATGAGACTTTTACATAATCTCTCTTGCATAGTGCCATTGTGCACCTACTATTTTATGATCTGATTGGAAAGACATTTGGGGTTTTCCATAGCAAAACAGACTCATACTGGTGCAGGGTGTATCATTTTGTAGGCTCAGTGCTCACAATACCTATTCCTACAGTTACTGAGATTGTTTTAATCTCGTTGATTTGAGGTGTTATATACTAGTAAGAAGTTAAATCGGCTCTCTGAATTCATGCCTGACATTTACATCCTGTTTTTAGAGGCCCGTGTTTGCTCTGCTCCCGATATGTATTGTTTCAATGAACTTCTGAGCTTGATTAGTGTTCGTTGTCTACATGAAATATATGGAGAAAACGAACAGTATTCAAGCTCAAAAGTCCATTAATCAATACAAAATAGGAGCAGAGCAAACACGGACCTCCAAACATCAGAGGTGGGATCAGGTACCATGGAGGAGTGAGCATCCCCTGCCGACCGGATCCATAATCCCATTGCTACCTTACCGTTACAGAGATATTTTGCTAAGCTGATTACCTTGTAGATCATACAGAATTAAAGAAAATTTTAAATGCTTCATACGCTTTGTGAGAGCGTTTACATCTAGAGATGGAAGCTCTCTTACATGAATTATGGAAATAACAGTATTCAAGCTCAAAAGTCCATTGAATCAATACAAATCAGGAGCAGAGCAAACACGGACCTCTAAAACAACAGAGGTGGGATCAGGTGCTATGGAGGAGTGAGCATTCTCTACCGACCGGTCACACCCGCCGTGAATACCGATTGGGAAAAACGGAAAAATCCGTAGACAATTCAGTGTGTAAATAATGACCTAACAATAGAATGAAAAACATCAGTCAGCATTTGACTTTATGATATGTTGTATTTGCCGACAAGGTCATTGTATTAACCATAGAACTTGCAAAATGATGACTTTAAACGAGACTGTTGATATTCTTGTTTCATCAACGTTTTTGTCAATAGCTTGCCTCTTTTTAGTTATTCGCACGTAAAGCATGCTCTTGCATATCGAATCAACTGAGAGACATAGACCTCATATGCAGGTGATAAGGATATATTGCTACATAAGTAAGGGAAGTTGACGATTGAAAAGTTGAAATCATCACGTTTATCATAAAGCTTGATTCTTAGATTACCAATAACGTCTTTTTCTAATAAAATATCCAAATATGAAACAGATGTGTCAGACTCTGTGGCATTTTTAATTTCAAGCTCACATTTATTGGGATTGAACTGTTTTTCAAGGTCAAGTCTCTCCTGTTATGCAATAAAAAAAAATGACCCAGAAATGCAAAGGAAACTGAGATGAAGATAACTAACGGATATTTTCAATGTTATTTCATAGTTTTATGGTCTATGGCAACATGAAAGAACGCTATCAGTTCAGATTATCGAAATGTAATAATAACATTTGAAATTGTAGAAGACCAGATTTTTTTTTCTAAAGTACTTCTGTGTTTCTTTAATTTGCACATCCTTATCTTATTAAAGCTGTTAGTCTTTTAAATATAACAATGTATGGTCTTTGATAAACAATTGTAACACTTGGTCAGCAATTTTAATATGTGGCAATGGAGAATTTAGAAATTTGTAATATGAAACCACAAGTAAAAGGTCATTTAACTTCACAAAAGCAGTAAAAAAATAAGAGCTATTTCTTGATGATTAAAATTGTCAATTTGGTTTACGACTTTTTCTCCAAATAAAGGACATTTTGGACCTATTATATCTTCTTACTATAAGAATTAAGAATTTAGGCAATATATGTAAGTGACGTCTGTTGATTATTCTACTAGATTTGTCTTTCTTTATCAATGTTGCCGGCCATAAAGTCCATTCTCTTATCTAATGTAGTATCATTCTGAAGGATTTCTTATTGCAACTATGTCAAGGATACTCTCCTCACATTTCAAGTAGAAAAACACTAGAAAGTAATCAAAGATAGCGTTTTAGTTTTCTTTCAATTACTTAGAATTATATAATAAAAACGTAAGGATATCTTCTCGGGATATACCGGTCATTTTACGCCAAGATGAATTTAGTTTTTATAATGAAAAATTATCTGAAGCAAAATTTAAATGAGCATCAACATCAGCATAAATAAATTGTGGCTGTTAAGACTTCATTAACAAAAACTCTGTGAGGGTTGATACATCTTCATTTATAAATTGACTACTATAAGAAATTGTTTCATCATTCAAAGAAAAATAATTTTTTCAAAGGATATCTTCCAAATAAATAACTCACTTATCGTGGTAAATGACGTATCAGTATTCTATATCATTGGTCTCTAAAACGTTCACAGCTGTTCATATAGCCGTGATCGTATAGTGGTTAGTACTTCGCGTTGTGGCCGCGACAACCCAGGTTCGAATCCTGGTCACGGCAGTGGCTGTGCAGTCGCTGTTACGGCAGGACAGCATGTTTTTAGGTTTTTACACTACCTTTTGTCTCCAACTTCCACCTTTTTTCATCAACAGTCCGTCCGTAGTAGACTAAAGGTGTTATGAAATAATAAGGATTGCATGAACAATAAAACAAGAGTTCTGGCTGAAAAAAAGTTTGCAAAAACATAGTTTTTGTTTTCAAGCTCATTATTTCAACTGACTTTAGAAGTGCGTCATTTTCATGTCTGGTATGAAACTTATACTTAAAAAACCTCGATTGTAATGTGCAACAACATTTTCAGGATGTTGTGAAGGTCAATTGTGGATTATCAAAAATCTCCAATAATTTTTTTATAAATGGAATTCTCATATTTTTTCCAAAACCTATTACATAAAAACATTTTATACAACCATTCCTCGTTATAATTCATGCTTTTTTGAGATCATAGATAACTGCTTCTTTTATTTTCATATTTTGTGATTAGTCATCTTCAAAAGCTGCTTTGTTAAAAATCAGTCTGACTCTCTACACAAGCACTCTGAAGTCAATAATAAAAAGATGTGGAGTTCTTCACTGACACTATCAATGAAGTCTTTGGATACCAGGCTCGGGGGCCGTAAAACTTGGATGAGCCCACCTTTAATCTCAGTGTCACTTTTCCACTATGTACTCCTTTTGTAAAATCGATACTTAGATCAGAAATGAAATATGTGGAGATAACGAACAGCATTCGAGCTCAGAAGTCCATTAAACATTACAATTAGGAGCAGAGCAAACACGGACCTCTATGACATCAGAGGTGGAATCAGGTGCCATGGAGTGAGCATCCCCTGCAGAAAGTGATTTAGCTATGTTTACTGGTCCCAGAACCAGGGTCTTCCGACAATATGTTAGAATTTGTATGGGCACAAATTATACTCTATAAGCAGACCTATTTTTGTATTCTTATGAAGCAAAATTTATCCAAAAACTTCTGCATGTAATTGGTATTGAAAACAGTTTTCAATCTCAGAAATCCAGTAAATAAAACGAATCGTGAGCAGGGCAAAAACACAGACCCCTGGAAACACCAGAGGTGGGATCAGGTGCCTAGGAGGAGAGAGCATCTCCTGTTGACCACATAAGAAGAAAAATCTTGTTTTGGTCTTCAAGTGGACAATTAGATATATATACGACGTTTTATCAATTAATATTCATTTTTATTTATGAACTCGAAAAAAAACACACCACAGGGTCTGCCACACAACTGCTTCATATTTGGATATTTTACATAATAAATATGAAAAACAGGATGACTTTAACTTTTCAACCATCAACTTTATCTATATACGTAGCAATATATTCCAATATCAATTGCATTTGGGGGGGGGTTTATGTCTCTCAACTGATTCGGTATTCAAGAGAATGCTCTTAGCGTTGGTTCGTATTATGACTGACATGTTTCCCACCAATTCTTAAGACATTGTTTTTATACATTTTGACTAAGGATTAATTCGTTTACTTCATCTATAGGGAGGGCTCACAGCGGGTGTGACTGGTCGGCAGGGGATACTCTTACTCCTCCAAGCACCTGATTCAAGGGATTCGTTTTGTTTTTTGTTTTGTTTTGTTTAGTTTTTTTTTTTGTTTTTTTTTGTTTGTTGTTTTTTTTTTGTTTTTTTTTTGCCCTGTCCACGATTCGTATTCTTCACTGGATTTATGAGATTGATCACTGTTTGTTTTCCTTACCTTTCATACTGATTTGTTTTCCTTACCTTTCATACTGATTTGTTTTCCTTACCTTTCATACTGATTTGCCAACGGATTTAATACTCCGTTTATCCGATCTAAACAAAGGGCCCAGGGGTGTGTGACCGGTGAACAGGGCATGCTTACTCTATGGCAGCTGATCCCATCTCTGCCAGACTGGTGTTTCCAAGGGTCCGTGTTTGCTCAGCTCCCATATAGTTTTTTGTTTGTTTGAGCCTCTCACTGATCGTTATCTAAACATTCACTCACAAGGTTTCAGGTACTGGGAGGAAGAAACTGAGGATGTTAGTGAGGTATACACGTCACCATGGTATCGTAGAAACACCCCTGCCATCAATGTGGAAGTGACGTCATATGCTCTACTTGCACAGTTAGAGCTCAACGATCTGGAATATAGCAAGAATATAGTGGAGTGGCTGCTAGATAAAAGACAGTCATCAAAAGAATTTGTTTCAACACAGGTAGAATGGAAGACAATTGCATGTAATAAGTTTATAGTAAATTTGCATTCATTGATTTCTTCAAAAATAGTAAGTCAATTCGTAGTCTTGTAAGAATGCGATGATGGTCAATCCAGTAGTGACTATATTTCATAGATCTGTTAAGTCTCTTTGTCTTGTGCCAAAACATTCTTCGGTTTCTAAGTCTTAAACAACTTTTAATTTGATTTCTAGGATACGGTGGTAGCTCTCCATGCTCTATCGTTGTACAACATAAGGACGTATGCTAGAGACATCAACCTTAACATTTCTTTGTCCAGTACCAGTAATTCCGGCTTCCAGAAAGATCTAGTTTTATCGCAGCACGACGCACTGGTTCAAAAATCTGTTGACAATGTGAGTATATGGCTGTAAAAGTTTAGCAGTGTGATTAAATTTAAAGAAAATTCAATTTAAGAGCTTATCTAAAGATATATTTAATGTTTCTTTGGCAACGACAAAATCATGTCATATCACATGACAAAAATGAATGAAATGACGTTCTTCAATCTTTGAGTTATTTTTCTTTTTGTATGAAAGGTTCCTGTTAATGGAAAATTGGGCGTTGTTTCCCGTGGGAATGGAGTTGCCCGGATGGACGTGGAGGTCCGGTATAATGTGAACGTCAGTGAGAGCCATCTTTGTAAGTTCAGTGTAGAGGTGTTCGACAAGCCCGTCAAACTGGACCTATTGGTGGAGAAAGGGTTCACTCCTGACGAGTAGGTATCCGGCTTCGCCTTCGATCTCAATCCTCATTTTCACGGTTTTAATCTAATGCCAAAAAACCTTATTTCATGGCTTCAAATATGTTTTAGTTAAATAAAGGACATTTTCTAGTTATAATTATAAAATTTATTTGTATCTAAACTGCATTTATTTTAACAATGAGTTTTTTTTATTTAAAGAGTGTTATTGAATGATCTATATTTAGCCTCCACTGTGACGTCTGTGGCTATTGTTCGCCCGTAGATCCTGATGAGTTTTCGGAAGTTTCAGACAAATACAATGTACCTGATCTCGCTCCCAGAATTCGGGGTCTGTCCTCTCGCTTAACAAGATCCGCCACTGGGCAACAGACAAGCAAACGGGTCGTCTGCCTAGAAATATGTGTCAGGTGTGTTTCAAGTAGTACCAATAAATTATACTAGTTAAATCTAAAATTATTTATGTTATCAATTTTAACTAAGGTTTTGCCTTTAGAATGATAATTTTATAGTATGAGTCGATATGTGTGAATAGTGCGAATATTTGAATAAATCAGGTTAAGAACACGGATGTCGGAATCGGATGGGAACAATAAACTTTTACAACAACTAGAGGTACTGTGAACACTGAGCTCACATAATGATACCCCCACTCTCATAAGAGTCCATTTTTTGCTATGGGAAAGCCCAAATATCTGTCCGATCAAAACATAAAGTAGGAGGTGCACAATAGCAGTATATAATAAAAATTCCGTGAAAGTGTCTTCAAATTTTATTCAGTGGTATAGGGGGAGTTGCGGATAAGAGATGGGTGTCCCTGAAATTATAGAAAGAATGACAGTGTCTATGTTTTGCTATGGGAGACCTGAAATATGTGTCAAATCAAAAAAGTAAAATAGGAGGTCACTCTGGCACTTTGTAATTATAAAGATTCTGTGAAAGTATCATTAAATTTTATTCAGTGATATGGGAGCAGTTGCAGATAAGAGTTGGGTAACCCCGATTTCATAAAAAGAGTGGCAGTTTTCATGTTTTGCCATGGGAAACCCAAAATATGTGCCCGATCAAAAAGTAAAATAAAAGGGGCACAATGACACTATGTAATAAAGATTCAGTGAAAGTCTCATAAATTTTATTCGATGGTATAAGAGGGGTTGTGTAGAAGAGATGGGTACCCCAATATAAAAGAAGGAATGGCAGCCGCTTAAGCGAATTCTTTCGCACTTCCAGGTTGGTTATCAAGTCATAAACGCCAAAAATATATTTCTTAAGTAAAAATTTCGGGGAAATAACAATTGTAACTAATTCAAGTTTTGCCTCCTTACAGTTACCTTGGATACCGAAAACTAGATATGCCAGTGGTGGATGTTGGACTACCAACGGGATTCCGTGTCATAGAGAGCGACCTCCAGAAGGTATTTATTCCGTGTCATAGAGAGCGACCTATGGAAGATATTTTTTGTTATAGTGTCATTGTAACAGGAAATTTTACAGAGCATGTTTGTTTCTCTCTTTTAATCAGTTTTTACGTTATTTTTATTTAAGATAAAATCTAGCGGAGTTGCAGATAACTACGAAGTATCGAAGAGATCAGTTACACTGTACCTGGATAATGTATGTTCATTTTCAAACGTTATAATAATTTTTTTTAATTCCATAACACTTGTTAAATGATTCTTCTAATTGTGTCGTTAATATTGCTAAAATAAATCTTAACTGTTACTGCATTTAGAGACTTTTTTTTAAAAAAATCGACTTTTATTGAAAGGTTTCCACATGTTTTGTAAGAAAGATTTCTTGAAACTCGTGGTAAAACATACGCATTTGTTTGTCTTAATTGATTTCTTATTGTAGATTCCCAGCTTAGACGATCTGTGCTTTCAGTTCCGCGTGGTCCGAGAATTTGACGTAGAAAACCTCCAGTCTGCAAAAATAGAAATATACGACTACTACCAAGAGGGTAACCTTCTTATTTCGATTTTTTATTTGAATACACGGGATTCAAATATAAGTCAACCTGTTTGATTTTTTATTTGAATACACGGGATTCAAATTGAGGTCAATCTGTTTGATTTTTTTCATAACAGAGGAAAGATGTGTGAAATTTTACAGTCTAAAATACGAGGTGGCGGATCTAGACATTTTCTGCAGCCGGGGTAACTGCACGTGCATTGAAGGTAATTAAATATAAACAATTATTGCTCTGTTTTGAGGTCAATGTGATGATTTAGCTACCCAGGGAGTACAGTATTTAATGTATCATATCATCAAAAAAAAAGATTTCTTTGTAACACTCTTCAGATTCGTGTGCCGAATCTTGGGACGCCAAACTACTGTACAAACAGATCTCGAGATCCCAGCTATACCAGAGAACGTGTAACCTGTACGATTACGGTCGGTAGTGCATGAATATCTGCTTTTATCTGAGTTCTTGGCGCAGAGATAGATAGAAATATTCATGAGAAAGCCTTACTCTATATTTTTTCTTTATTTTATAGTTATTAGGATAGAGGTAACTAATGTTATCGTGTCTGGAAACCATCTGGTTTTCTCCTCCAACGTCAAATCTGTCATCAAGCCAGGTATATCTGAACGAAAACTCGTAAAAAGTTTGTTTGCTGGAAAATAGAATTCTGGAAAAATATGAATGTTTTATCTATTTGGTTGATAATTGATAAAATTATTAATTGTGTAATTATGAATTTACCTCTCGTTGTAACAGGGGAGGGTAATATACAGCGGAATGACGAGATAGAGTTCTGGGTGAACCTCCGATGTGAAACAGATTTAGAAGTGGACCATCATTATTTTGTATACGGCAAAAAGATCATCGTGTACACAGACGAGAGAGGACATAAAAGGTTATCAGAACCACTCGAACTCTCTATAGAAAAAATAAGTTATTTTATTACATACAAATGTTATTTCAAATAAGAATTGGATGTTATAAAATGGTAACGTATTTGAGTTTTCTAATTCATAGGTATTACCTTTTTGTTATTATCAATATAACCTTTTTGTAGATAATCGGTACAACGTTTTTGTAGATAATCGGTATAACCATTCTGTAGATATCGGTATTACTTTTTTTGTAGATAATCGGTATAACCATTCTGTAGACACTGGTATTACTTTTTTGTAGATAACAGTATTACCTTTTTGTAGATATTGGCATTTTCTTGTTTTGTAGATATTGGTTTTACCTTTTATCTAGATATCGGTATTTCTGTTATGTAGATATCGGTATTTTAACATTATTGTCAATTTAGGTATAACCCTTTTGTAGATATCCGTATATCTTGATTTGGTAGAGAAATAACCTTTTTATCTTTTTTTTTACCTTTTTTCTAGATATCGGTATTACCTTCAAGGAGAGACGGCCATTTTCAAAGACTACATTAGAACTGAGTACGCCGTGAATTCCAATTTACGTTTCTGGGGTCGATATCTCCGGCGTTTGGAGCGCTACATCCGAATCCGAGGCTGCTGAGCTTGTGCTGTGTAATTTTGTGGACAATTTTTACTCCATTTTGATATGGGAACTGAAATGTAAATATTTTTCTATTGTATATTCGATTATATAGCACTTAAGTTCTTTATTTATATTTTAATGTCATTATTTGTCAATCAAGAAATTAAAATATATGATACTTTCAATGTCCTCTCTATACCGTGTATTTAACAAAGTAATAATGAGTGAAAATTATGAAATGGATTTTCCCTGAGTGACAGGTTTAGGTACAGAAGAGAGGCTAATATGTTATATAAAAGATTAAAGCAATCTTACAAATATTTCTTCGATGAAGTCGGCAATGCTGTCTTATTGTGGGCTTGTAATGTAACATAGGCGTCGGAAGCAAATTGAAAGGGGGGGGGGGGGGGGCTAAACCAACAAAAAACGTTTGGAGTTATGTCTATCTTTGCCAATAAAAGTGGGGGAGGGCTTAGCCCCCCTCCTACAACCCCTCCGGTCCGACGCCTATGCGTAACATGTAGTGTCAAATATACCCCCTCCAGTGAAAATGAAATGAAGTAATTATAGGATTCACCATGTATGTTAGTCTGTAGTAGCTTGGACAACATCAGACGCTCATTCCTAGATCAAGGAAATAAATTTTAACTGGTAACTATAAAACAGAAGATAATTCTATATATGTGGAGATCTGAAGTTTATCTAAGAGATTTAGGAAGTGTGCCAATAATGGGTTGCTCATCTGAGAATATTCAATGCCATAAATTGCGAGTTTTTCAGATATCTATCAATCCATAGATATATCGACTCACAGAAAAGCATAATTATCGACTTTGCCTGACAATATCTATGTAGTTTTTGGAGATCAGGAGTTCCAACAATCTTTTGGAATTCCCATACATGAAAAGAAGACACTTGTGGTGACTTTACTCGACATCTAAGTATATAAACGACGTATTATTAATTTACAATAGTTGCTTCCATTCATATGTCGACTAGATACCACAGAGTCTGAAACATCTCTTTCAAATTTGGATATTTTATTAGAAAAAGACGTTATTGGTAACCTAACAACAAAACTTTATGATAAACGTGATGACTTCAACTCTTTTATCGTCAACTTCCCTTACATATGTATCAATATACCTTTATCATCTGCAGATGGGGTTATATCTCCCAGATGATTCGATACGCAAGAGCATGCTCCACGTATAACAATTTCTAAAAGAGGCAAGCTATTAACAAACAAGGTGATGAAACAAGGATATCAACAGTCTCGTTTAAAGTCATCATTTCACAAGTTCTATAGTCAGTACAATGGCCTTGTCAGCAAATACAATCTATCAAGTTGAATGCTGACTGACGTTTTTCATATTAATTGTCAGGCCACTATTTAAACACGAAATTGTCTACGGATTTCTCCGTTTGCACGATCATGACAAGGAGCACACGGCAGGTGCGACCGGTCGGCAGGGAATGCTCACTCCTCCATGGCACCTGATCCCACCTCTGATGTTTTAGAGGTCCGTGTCTGCTCCCGATTTGTATTTTTTCAATGGATTTTTTAGCTTGATTACTGTTCGTTATCTCCAAATTCCATGCTTTTTTCTGTTAAGTCGTAATTCATTTGGATGGACCGAATAAAAGAGCTATATTTTTATAATACTTTGTAAATGCTGGTCTTACTCAGCTGATAGGGTAAGAGACATGGCTACTTGTTTCACTCGTGATGACGAGTACGACACTAATCTGAAAGGTGGAACATAAAAAGGGTCCATTTTATTCCTAATGCTTTTTAACAAATAAGAGCCGTTTAGCTACACAGCGCTTCGTATATCTTCAAAATGCAAACTAAATTTTAACATTTTAGATTCTTCGGTGAATCAATGATTGGCGCTTTACGAACCTAGGAGCAAAAACTTAAAGTCGAATAAAGAAAACCAGTCCTTATTCGCGTGCGACAAGTATCCGTGAGTTTGGCAACTTTACTTGCAAACATTTCTCGCCTGGAACCATTTACTTCATTTGCATTTGCGTAGAATGTTTTCTCATTGATCGCAAAAATAAATAGTCGCGAATAATAATAGATTTACAGTGTTTAGCAAGTCATTTTTGCTAGGACTCTACCATCCTAAAGGCTGATGTTTTTAGAGGTGTGTGCATGATCTGCTCCAAATTTTATTGTTTCAATGGATTTTGAGCTTATGTCCATATTTCATTGAAGCTTTGAACAAAAATCGGATACAAAAGAAATTTTTTGAAGTATTTAATTTGAATTCTTTTCCCCTTTATAAATATTTCAAACTTGCAGTGGAACAATCTAATAAATTGACCAATACCGAATATTCTTATGACATGGACATCAAAGAAGCCAAATTAAAGAGGAACAAATTTGAGAAATTCACTTCAGAAAGATGGACAAAGAGCTAAATGACTGTTCTGATGTTCTACATCTAAAACTGTCTATCATCAGAAGGGTCAGCATACAAAAGCAACAAAGTAAGGGAGATAAATCGTGATAGGCCAGAGTGAGGGAGCAGAACCACGAGGGTGGCATGGCAAGGTTCCTTGACAAGACCCAGCGTGAGGGAGTAATGTAGGGATGACCTTAATCTCACTATCTCTCCCACATTTTCTCACTCCTCAAGTGTTGTCCTTGCATCCTCGCATTGTTATGCGCATATTTTCTCTCCCTTGCACTGTTACCCTTGCATTATGTCTCCCCAAAGGAATACAAGCGGCATGACAATGCGTGAGGGATGACGATAATCTCTCTCCCTCTCCTGCATTTTCTCAATCCCCTGCATTTTTTTCTCTCCCGCACTGTGTTGTCCTTACGAGACACAGGAGAGAAGATTAATACAACTCAACTGTAGGTTTTATTTGTATACATAATGGCATTCCTATGGCTCATCTGCTAAGGTATTTCATTTATATGTAACTGACAAATCAAACATATACATAATTTACGCATATTTTATTATGGAGTTTGTAAATGTACTTTGAATGAAGTACATAAATTGCATAGGTTAGTATACAATGAATCTACCTTTTTTTAATTATACATGTACATGTATGTATATACATAGATACATGGAAATTGTAGGAAAATGAGTGAAGAGATAGAAAGAATACAGATCTCTATATAAGTAAAGCTCAAAACTCCTGAAATGATACTAATTCACACAATCCACAGTGAGTAGAAAAACAAATTCTGGAACATCAGGAAAAATGGATTTGAGAGTGTATTTCTTCTGAAGTCCCATAAATCCAATCAAACAGTTAACATATACATTTAGGATTATAAAGATGAAGCATACCGGGTGTATACATAGCACTACAGTAATTATATGTACACTATAGTAAATATACATATACTATCTGTGTCCACTTGCAGAGACCAGAAATTTTATACCAGCTACTCTATACATAACACAAAAAATCACCATCTTAGCACTGCAAAAGTGGGTTTTATTGGCAGACTATAATTATTTGCCAAAAAATAAAGTACCAATACTTCCTATATACAGAGTTATTATACAGAGTATTTAAAAAAAATTGGCCAAAATATAACACACCAATATTTCAACTCTTTTTTATTATCAAATTTGCCAAATACTCCAGACACTAAAACTGCCCAATATATGGTACTTTGACAAAAAATTAGAAATTCCTAAACTTTAACTAAATCTATGTGAATTAAAATTTTTATTCTAATCAACCAATATTTGTCTTACTTTTCTATATAAAATGAATATCTTTTTAAAAAATATCTGCAATTCTGTACTGTGAAGTTCAATGATAGATGTAATGTATTAAATATAAACAATTTCAGGAAAGAGAAATATGTCAAAAAAATACATCTGATATTAATTAAAATCTATTAAAGCACTGAATTTACATGATATTCTATTTTGCCATAATTTATAGTAATAAATAAAATACATAAACATCTTGTACTTATTAAGTAGCATACTGCCTAGGTACCCTTTACAATGCTAAAAAACCTGAGCATTTTATTAAACCTACTCTTAAAATGAACAGTTTTATACAATGATGCTGATTGTGGCAGTGTGTTAAAATGACACGTTTTTGTTAAAAAATACTGCAATAGTCTTTTCAACAGCAATGGCTAATAAATATCTAATGTAACATTTCTCAATGACTTCTGCACCAAAAACACTAAATGTGCATGCACATTTAACAAGATGTATAATGTTATAAATGATACAAAGTTACTAACTACTGATACTATCAGTATAAACTACTGGTACTATAAGTATATACTACTGGTACTATCAGAAAATACATGTTCAAATATTGTAAATCTCCCTCACAAGTTCTTCCCAAAATCAAGAAATTGTTTTAAAAAATTGCTGGACATCTCATTTTGTGAAGTGGTATCTTTTATTAATAGAACACCTGCTGCCATTTAAAATCATTTTAATTAAATTTTTACCAGTTATTCAGCTTTCAAACATACACTCAGAATAAACACATGGATACAGAAAACAAACTCACCCCAGTTATCACAGCACTATTGCTTGGTTTCTTACAAAACAATACTCCATACTTGCATACAATTAAAATGAAGTTAAATCTTCTATGGACATTAGTTTTCTCTGTTACATGCACCACTCTAAAAATTTATCCCCTTGTAAAAGTATTCATTAAAAAAATCAGATTTCATGAGTAAACTCATTGATATGCTGTCATTTAATTTATATTACTTTGGGATAATTAAAAAAATTCTCATTTTTACCTTCCAAATGGGAGATGGCCACATTTTTTAGTTTAGTTCCAGTATAAATGATCATGTCTTCAGACTCACACTCGAACAATTACCACAGTCACACAATTACCTTTCCAATCATTACATTAATATAGAAAAATATGCACACCACTATGTGAAAAGGAATATAAATGAATTATATGTCATTTGATTTAAAAATGTACAGCTAAAATTAATTACTTAAAATGAGAAATGCATATATATCCTAATATGAAGCTCTTTTAACCACTGTGGTATATATGGTATACATGTATGTAAAACTTTCATTCTATTGCACAAGCTGCCCTTAAGTATTACAATTATACTTTGTCAAGAAACATGTCATTATATCATTCATACATAAAAACATAAATTGCAAGAAAATCTACATTTAAATTGTATTCCTAACACTTAACACTGAAGATCTTATTAGAATCAGTTTTAAAGATAAAAGAAAATTGCAAATAAATTCTGCGTTGAAACAAAGATATTGAATAATTTCAAAATTGTTTATGAAAAAAGCTGAATTTCTCATTTCAACTTAATGAAAGCAATAATAAAGAAAGAATATCAGATAATAACAAATGAGTAAACATTTTAAAAAAAAAAAAAAAACATGCTGTGAATACAGTTAGCACTAAAACCTAGATTTCCTCTCTCTTTAAGCAAGTAAAACATTGACTGTTCCCTGAATTTGCTGCCTACAGAGAGGACATTTTTTCTGTGGTAGACTGTCCACACATCCCTTACATGAGATGAGATGATTACATGGGGAGAAGGACACCTGGACCTCCTCTACACGACAGATCTTACACTTGGAGCGGTCAGACTGGGCGGAGAGACGGCGAATCTCCTCCTCCAGCTCACGTAGCCTCCTCTGCCACTCCCCCTCAGGGACCTGATGACTTCTCTCCTCCAACATTCTTACCCTCTGTCTCTCCTGATCAAGGAGTCTGTCCTTCTGTTGAAGGGCCTGCTGACTTTGCTGTCTCTCCTGCTGTAAGGCCTGATCTCTCTGCTGTAAGGCCTGATCTCTCTGCTGTAAGGCCTGCTGGTTCTGCTGTAAGGCCTGCTCTCTCTGCTGCAGCCTCTGTCTGAGTGACTCATTCTTCTGTTTGGATTCCCTCACTTCCTGTGTGGTCTCCTCCACCACCCTCATTGTCCTCTCTAATGTCTCCTCCATCTCCTGTCGGGTCTCCTCCATCTCTCTATCCTTCTCCTCCATCTCTCTATCCTTCTCCTCCATCTCTCTATCCTTCTCCTCCATCTCTCTATCCTTCTCCTCCACCTCCCTCTCTAGTTGTACTATAATGATACAGTTCTCTCATATCAACATCAGTAAATAGTCTGCTGACAGCACTTCAATCATAATTTTCAACATATCAGTCTTTTTCTTATGCTTGCATACATACTCTTGATAAGATAATGTCATAAATTAAATGGTAGATTATTCTAAAATTAAATTAGAAGAATGAAATTGAAATACATGCAAGTACTTAAAGCAGAAAATTTTTAGACACTCTATACATTCAAATCATCTCTTCATTTATTAGATTGTTATGAGAATTCTGTAAATGTTATTTACCTATACCTTTCATGTCACGGTGGATTTCAGCAAACTCCTCAGGAGAGGGGAGGAAACCTAAAACAACAGAAAAATAAATATCCAGGTAAACAAGAACCTGTATACTTCATTGTTTTGTTCAAATTTACCAATTCAGAATAAGAACCTTATAAATTCAAAACAAATGAATTTTCACTAGAGAGGGAATATTTATAATACTAGGAAATGAGGGATCAAACTGTACACCTCCTTAAAACAGTAATATAAAGCAATGTAATATCTTTAATTAACTGATTTATTTTTTTCCCATTATTATATACATGTACTAACAAAAATATATAGGTAGACTGAAGTACTAATTTTAAATCCTCATTAATAAAGTTTACAGGTAATAACCACATCAGCCTTCAGTTGTTACCTCAACCATTCAAAAGATCCACAACTAATTCAAGGGGCATAATTCTGCATCAGAAATGAAACTGTGGTTTCTTTTCAAAAGTGGCTTCTGATAAAACCTATTTGTCCATTATCAAGTTATACTGACTTATTAATTAAACTTACTGTTGTTTTTAAGCCACTTTTCCACCACTCTCTCAAAATCCTCCAAGAGATAGCCCTTCTCCTCTACAATGATGTGACAGAGTTCCTCATAGGAGAAATCCAGGGGGAGGCCGGAGTCGTCCAGGCGTGACATCTGTCCCATTCTCTGAATATGGTCCACTGAATCAATCAGCTTGTCACAACTTCTGTTGGCTTCTATACCTATGTATCACATATAAGTAATTAGATAAAAATTTCTTTTAATAAGCAAATGTCAAATAATATCATTGCATTAAAACTATTCAAAGTACATTACAGACCTATTTTTCCATAATAAAATGGCATACTAAAATTTACAAATTATGCATAGTGGTAACTTATGGCTAGTATCAATGCATAAACAAGTTTGTAGAGTATTTATACAAAGATTCAGAAATGTTAAGAGTCGAATACACATATTCATGATATTTGTGTCTAAAGAGACAAAGCACATAAGGTACCTCTCTAGTACATGATACATAACACCAGACTTACCTCCCTTGAGTGTGTTGAGGTAGTTTATGGCAGTGATCAGTTCATCCTGAGTTATCTCCTCCTCATTCACCTGTTTCCTAAAGTCCTCCACATAGGTCCTCCTCAGCTCCTCCTCAATGTTCACCTCAGACTGAGGTCCTGAGGTGGGGGACAGAGACAGAATGAACTGAGGTACCCTGGCCCTACAGCAGGTGGAGGCAGTAGTCGACTGATCCTTGTGATTAACTGAGGATCCACCCACTGATTTGTCGGAGACTGGGACCTTTGAGGTACCTACACACTTATCTGACACACTTCCTTCATTTGTTTTGCTCTGCAGCCAAAATGACAGTAGAACAACAATGGCAGCCCCAGCAATTCTACAGTTTTCTGTGTTGATAGCAAAGCTTTTCATGGAGTTGCTGTACATTAAAGCTAGTGCTGTTATGACCAGACAGATGTAAACATCTTGTCTGATGTTTCTCTTCCTCCACTGAGGGAGATAACTCTGGATCAGCCTCAGCAGTGACGTCTCCAGAAAGCTGTGATTCCAGTCGACAAGAATCACTACCAGGGAGGAGGACATAAAAATGGACTCCAAGAGAGCAGGGAAAACTGAACTAAAGTGACTCAGATCCGAGCTCATCTAAAATAGATTGAGGGGTTATGAACATGAAAGAGTATTCAGTAATCAAACACAGATAAATATAACATCACAATAATTATCAGGTAAAAAATTATATTTCTTAAAATAATGTATGACAATATCTCTCAAAGCTGTAGATTATAGCATAATATTGTGTGGCTGTCAAGTAAATTTGATCGCTGGAAGCCAGATAGCTCAGTGGTAGAACACCTGACTAGAGATTCAAGGGGGGGGGGGGGGGGGGGCTGTGTTCGAAGCCTAGTCTGGTTCATTGCATTTTGCTCCTTTCCCATTATATTTTGGTGCCATTGGATTTGAAGATGTAAGACCTGCCAGGGGCCAAAATGATCTTGGGTTGTGTCTTCCAGGGTGAAGACAATTTAAGGAAGGAGGAATGTGGTGGCCATGCAGATTTAAACTGCTGGTGGCCAGATAGCTTGGTAGAGCACCTGACCAGAGATTCAGGGGGGCCTTGGTTCGAATCCTGGTCTGATCTGTCGCATTTTACTCATGTAATGAACAAGAGAATGAAATTCGTATATAAGATAAAGGCTTGTAAAAACTTTCGAATATTGCCCCCTGTATAATTTTTGCACTCATTGTAGTATTTATAGTTGAATAACATTGCCTTTTGGAAGACAAAATAATGAGCATTCTGCCATTAAGAGGATTAAACATTAAGCTTCAAAACATTGATCTGACACTGACATGTTCATTTGAAATAAAATTGAAAATATAATAAAATAATGTTTCTACCCGAATTTCCTCTGTGAAAACATTGATTCCTGTTCGTGCATAGTGAAAATTACCCTTCCCTTCCAGTATCTCCCATTCTACGGTGGTATTAAGCTCTGTACTTTATATTAAGATGTGAATAAGGTCTCTTTAGAAGTTGAATTATTCAGTAAAGAGATTGAGATATATTTTTTACCGATACAGGGGGGTACTGAATGCAAAGGATAATTAAGATGCTTTAAATTCGATTGTGCACGAAACTGTGACTTGATTAAACAATTGAGATATTAATTTATTGTGTCTTACCTTTGCTTATCTATGAATCCAATTGTAAAACACTAAAAATTAAAAACTAAAAAGAGTAAAAATTTCCCTCGAGATAAATATAAACAAACAAAATGGCGTCGTCCTTCGGAACTCTTTTCATAGAAAACGTCCGAGGAAAATCCGCGAAAATATGAAAACTGTCAAAACAAATAACACGTGTTTCTAGTAATCGCAACAACGGAAATCTTCATTATGGGACCGCAACTAGTGTTTAATATCTACCAAACATAGGGTATGGAGATCTTGTAGTTCTTATTCCTGTTTTGTAGATTTTCATAAGGCATTTGACAGTGTTGTTCATAATGGTTTGAAATTGAAACTACTGCAATACAATGTTGGAAATAAATTTTATAACATTGTAAATGATATGTACATGAAAAGTGAAGCATGTGTCAAGTATGGAAATCTTCTTACTTCTTCATTTCCTATCAAATTAGGTGTACGTCAGGGAGATAACTTGAGTCCAACTTTATCTAAAATGTTTATTAATGATTTGCCATCATATTTACAAGGCTGTATAGACTCTGTCATGTTACACTCAAAAAGTATAGACTGTTTGATGTATGCAGATGATATAGTAATTTTTTCATCAACACCTGAAGGACTACAGCAAAAGCTAAATTCTTTAGAAAAGTATTGTGATGATTGGGGTATGAAAGTAAATTCTAATAAAACGAAAATTATTATATTCAACAAAGCTGGGAGAACAATCAAACATAAATTTCACTACAAAAAATTTCAATATTGAATGTGTATCTAGTTATAGATACCTAGGCATCTATTTCACAGGCTCGGGGACTTTCTCTATGGCAAAAAATGAGTTATACAAAAAGGGACTTAAAGCTTTTTTCAAGTTACGAAAAGACTTCCTTAGCTTAAATCCCGGGATATCCACTAGCCTCAATGTCTTTGATCACACAATTAAGCCTATATTACTTTACGGCTCAGAAATATGGGGAATATTTAATTTTAATAATTCAAAAATAAAGCAATCTAATCAAATATTGATGCAACTATGCTATAAAAACTTTACAGGAGAAAATTTACACATCAAGTTCTGTAAAACTATACTAGGTCTGAATAGGAAAAGTACGAACCATGCCTCTCTTTCAGAATTAGGTATAGATATCCTTTACATTATGATATTATCAACATGTTACTTAAATATTGCTACAGATTAGAAAATTTAAATTCAGATTTCCCTTTACTAAAAGATGCATTTATATGTAGTAAGGAACTTCATTTCGCCCAAAAACAACTTGGTACTCCTCAATAGAAAAATTACTAAAAATTCTTGATATTCCAAACATAATGTCCTATACTAAGAGTAATTTTATGAATTCATTAAAACAATCCATGAATAAAAAATACTCACTTGATTGGCAACACTCAAATGAAACACTAAAAGAGGGCAAACTTGTCACTTATTTATTTCTGAAGAACAATTTTAGATTGGAAAAATATCTAATTTTATTAAAACCTGAATACAGAAAACCAATATGTAGATTACGTGTATCAGCGCACAGACTTCTCATAGAATTAGGCAGATATAATAACACACCCAGATCAGAAAGAATATGTAAAAATTGTACGCTTAATCAAATTGAAGATGAAGAACATTTCCTTATTCACTGTAGCAAATTTACAAAGGAAAGAGAAGACCTATTTAACCTGATCTCATCTAAAGTAAAACATTTTACAGATTTGCCTGATAAACAAAAATTATTCTGGATTCTAAATTGCGAAGAACTAGATGTACTAAACTCTCTTGGAAGATTTTTACAAAAAACATTACCATAAATTTTAGGAATTTTTTTTATTATTATTAATTATGTAAAAGTATGATACTTTCAAGTATATGGTTTAGTAATGTATGCATATATATATGATGTACTGTATATATACCTATAAAACAAGTCTTATGTTCATATAAAATATTTTGGGTATTCCCCTACTTGTATGTCTTTTCTATCAATCAAGCAATTCTTTCCCTCTTATGTATATGTATATTGTATTTCGTGTGTATGATCATAATCATTATATACATTTTAACAATGTACTTTCTTTTTGCCCCATGAGGGCCCTTAATTGGTCAATAAACGAATTGAATTGAATTGAATATTGAATATTCCAGGTGAGTTGTGGGACAGTAACAGGGACACGGTACAACCGCGTCAATAAGGCAGGATCACAGCTATAGTTGGCTATATATCCAGAGTCCAGACACATATGCATATGTCTCTGGAATATCAATTTTTTTCTCTCTCTCTCTCTTTACCATCTAAAACTGTCAATGCAACATCTTTAGACAGCTTCAAATGCCAGATACAGTCCATCAGCATCTGCCCATATAGAGCACAGGCACCTGCAGCGTGGATCCCCCCCCCCTCCACCTAACTAATAAAATATAAGGAGTCTTTATTTTCTCGAAAATATGTGATTTCTCCGTCAATCCCATCTTTATTTCATTCTGTGCAATTGGTTTTTAATGTACGTTTGTTAAGATCTAAAACTTGGCCATATACGGTATATTTTATTATATATATGGTCAATTTTAAACCTTAACAAAAATGCAAATCGATCGCACAGAATGATATAAAGATGAAATGGACGGAGAAATCACAAAATTTCGAGAAAATAAAGACTCCTATTATTTTATCAGTTAGGTGTGTGTGTGTAGGGGGGGGGGGTTTAGATTATATTTCCTACGCTTCAGGTGCCTCATCGTCTCAAGCCACGGTCCGGAGTCCGCATATAGCATGTATAGCTCTCTCCTACCGCCAGAATGGGAGAGGATCGTACATTTTGGCCTGGTTTGCGACGATGCAGGTGCCACCTGCATAAATTTGAAATGCGCTGTAAACTGGTAAATATAGCTACATTCTAAACTGAAGACCTCCTCGCATTGTACACGGTTCGAAAATACACTACAAGTGTTGAAGTCCCCTATATGAAGAAGAAGATCCTCGTAAAACCACGGTTTTAATCTGACTGGGTGCGCAACAGCGGGGGAAGGGGAGGGGTCGACCTCCTCCCTCCCGGTCATAGAAAGATGACCCAGTGCCAGGTATTTGGAATGGATTGCATAAACTTTTTTAAAGGTAATTTTAAATAATCAATACAAATTAATTGAGTTTAGATAATTCTCTCTTGAGAAACAAGCGAAAATAGTATCCTGTAGTCCGTTCCATTACCTCATCTTTTGTATTACTAAAGATGCGGTAATAGTAAACTTTTTGCCAACTTTTTTTTAGTTTTAAATAATATATGTACAAAACAATCATTTGAAAAATTTCCTATCTCACACCAAATTATAATTTAATGCTTTAAAAGTTAAAGTTGACTAAATTTCAATTTTTTTAAGCATGTCGTCATAAAGAAATGTATATTCCTCGAGGAAGTAACTGAATTTCAAAATATTCGTATTTCTTTTCAATATTTTAAGATATCATTAATTTTATAACATGTCATCTTTAAAAATTACAGTTTATATAATTACTCGGTATCCATGAATGTATTGTTGGAAGAAAAGGTAGACTGGCTACCTGTAATGTTGGTACAATAGACTACAGTTCAACCAAAGGCCATGGCTACGAGACTGTACGATAATGGTAAGTATACATTTACATGTACAATGTAGTTAAAAATTAAACCTTTGATTGTAGCTACGACTGCTGTCTTGGAATTTTGCTAATTTTGGGGAAAATGCAGGTTGATTAATATTATCGTGTTTTTCTTCATTTCATTATTTTAAAGTGAAGTTTATCAGAATTAATTAGAAAGTATTCCACTTATTTTTTATTGTCCTTCCTCTTAAAGTTGATAGATCCATATTTATATTTACATAGAGAACATTTTATTTCTATAAACTACATGCAATCATTGCAATGCAGTATGAAATTAGACAAAACAGGCACTTAGTATCAAGAGGAAGCCCCCTTTTTCCAAACATAACTTTTTACGGTTTAAAATGATCATGAAAGGCTGACCAGTCGACTCTCCTACTTTTTGTTGCAGTTCAGTCAAATCGGGATAATGTGATAATGTCTGAATAAAATGTGATTGTGAAAATTTGGAATCTAACACCCCCTACCCTACGAAATTGGATTTTCAGTTTTAGCTTTTCTTTGCATGTCATTTTTTTATTTTTCAGGTTAATTGTAAATTGTTTTTAGTCGCCCCTTTCAAAAGCGATACTACATGCATATTTATTATCAGAAATAAATTTTTCAGTTTATACATGTAATGTTTGATTTAACTTATGAACAATGACATCAGTCATGGACTTTAAATTGATAACGCTTCCCCTTATACCATATATTACTTGAAGCAAATAGTACTAATAATGAACCATATACACATTAAACATATATGATGGTTGGTGATGGCGATATTTTAAATTTTTATGAATATACACAGAATGACAACACGTTTTTGGTGAAGCTCAATTATTTAAAGAAGTAAAATAAGAAGTGTAGCTCTATGTCAAGAAGTGAGTTATATACGTAGACGAAAGAAACAGAAGGGCAACTTCTCAAATCAAATAATTTCACTTACTGCTACATACTGTCAGACATGAATGGTTTGGTTGAAATATCTGAATAGAAGTAGCCTTTTACAATAATGTGGAAATTTATAAATAGTTTATAGAAAGACGATAATTTATTGGAATTAACTTTTACTACAATTACATTGTTTACTTCTGTCCAGTTTTTGATTTACCTACATAAAGGTCCAAAGGCATGTCTTAAATTTTCTGTATATTGCATTAATATATATAGCTGAGAAACTGACAATCTCTAGACTATACTGGTGTATTTGGTTGCACAGCTATAGGGATATTTTGTAACAAAGCCGGCAAACTGAAATCCCCCTGTTCAATATAGGAAATATTAAGAAATGCATCTTTGAAAACTTTATATTTCAATCATTTCGACATGTCAAGCTAATAAACGAGTAACAAAACAAACTCAATAAATAGTACTATTCACGTAACATCACAAACCAAGGGTTTGAATTGTTCATTGGCACTATGTCATTTTGAAGCACTAGTCACTGTCTAACTGGCTACCATGGACGCCAGGGGCCGGCGGAACTTCCGCTATCGGAGGAAGAGGAAGTGGTCACACAGTCACTGATGTTGATGTCCTCCAGTGCGGGGAAGCTGGGGATCACACTAAGTCTCTTCTTCGCTACAGGGGTAGAGGTATGGAGAGGAACACCGATGTCTGAGTGGAAAGGAGAGCGTGGCGGCTGGAACTCAGTAGGCACACGATCGGTAATGGCGGAGTAAACTTCTGCTGGGCGGACATCGAGGGGGGCGTTGTAGAAGTCCATGTACAAGTTCTGGTCCTGAAGGTAGACCTCGGCGTACTTAGGCTGGACAAATGGTGGTACTTCCTGGACACCCTCATGACATGGAATGTTGCTAGGATACAGCTGCTGACTGGAAGTGGAGGAACTATCGCTATGGCTGCTCAGTTCGAACCCCTGGTTCACGTAACCTGTGCTGTGATTGGTTGTGGAGAGATGGCGGAGGGAGACGGTGAAGTGGTTGATGAGGTTGGTCTTAGTGACGGTGTCGATTTTCTGCTCGGAGCGGAGGCAATGGAGGACCTCGCTGATACAGCGACTGTACCCCTCTCTGTATCTGTCGTCTGGTTCTCTACTGTCTGTAATACAATAAAGAAAATTATAAACATACGCCTATCAAATACTCTTATATCATGTGAATTAACTTCGTTTTCAAACGTTTTCAAGAAAAAAAATCAAAGCATCTATACATTTTCTCCCCCCTTTTTTATATAAAGAAATAAAGAATGGTTAATCAAATCCAACTTAAACGAGACTTCTCTTTAACCACCATTCAAAGATCGTAATTTTTTAAGAGTCTCTCTTGTAATGTGGACACATTACCTACCTTGTTTGGTGTTCATGGCGTACAGGTGGTTCACTGCCATCTCCAGGATGTCTGCTTTCTCCAACCGAGGGTACTTTTTCTCCTGAAGAAGAATAAATTAATTATAATCTTTTGTCCAGATAAAACCATGAACTTTATTATGGCACAAATTTATCTATTTTCCTGATTTGAAACATATAATATATTATATATATAAAGAATTAATTCTAAACAAATAAAAAAAGAAAATTTTATCGGAGCATATTTTTCTTCAAATTCACTGTATCCGAATTATTTGTCAAACATAAAGTATTTAAATAATTTGTACATTCACTGTGTGTTAAAAAAATAAGAGAAAAGTAATTGGAAATGTATCATTCTTTAAATTCGTTGTATTGCCGACATAGGTCAAACTTAAAGTATAAGATTTGTTTATTCAGTGTAACTTACATCTTTGCCTGTAGCTTTCATGACGAGGGCTTTAAGTTGTCCCAGACATTTGTTGATTCTCTCTCTTCTTTTTCTCTCTGTTTGTGGTTTATTGGCCTGAAATCACAAATCATGATGAAATAAAGAAACTAAATAAACATGCTGTTGAAAAATATTTTTTTCATAATTAATTTTTTTGCTATATGAATTTATGGGGGAAATTGCCAAGTATAAATATAAAATTGTAAGATATCACTATTAAAGAAATTAACTTCGTTTCTAGTAGATACGTGTTTGGAATAATTTCGTCATTCCATACCTTGCTATTATAATTAATATAGTTAGATTTATCATTATTTCAACAATTATATTTTTTTATTTTATACAGCTTTGAATTAAAATCTACCTTTCTGATGGGTGTTTGATTTTCGGAAGCTTTCTTCATCTTTTCTGTCAAACTAGGTTTCTTTGCACGTACACTCATTGCTTTCTTCTAATTCTTAGAGTAGTTATGTCCGCAAAAGTTAATTTGTGAATGAACCTGTTCAATCTCTGTGTCACCTATTGTAATGTATGCAAATCACCATCATCGTCCAATCAGAACCCTCGCTTGGTTCACGTGTCACTCGTCAAGTGACCCGTGTCGCAAATTAACTGGGGGCACACGGACATCATCAGCGCGATAGGGTTTTAATCCTGTTAATCACTGTAAAAACAAATCTCGTGTCATTAGTCAGTTTTCGCCACTAACGTAGATTTGAACGCGTGTTTGACGAATTCAGGGACGCCAACATTAAATTTTTAAAACAACACTGGGGTAGCACTGTTTGTCTGTCTTATCTTACGTTTACTCTGATATAGCTGTTGGCTTCCAGTCGATGAGTAAACTTTATATCAACAAGTGATTTTGTGGTATTAAAATTATATTTTACATACAAAGGGGGATTTATTGATTATATATACTAATAAAGAAACCATGATTTTTCTCTCTAGTTTAATTTCGCAGTATAAGAATCGGCAAATTTGAGGATTAAATTAAATTATATAAAATTTTAGAAATATAGGTCCCTTTACTATAATACGAAATCATTTAGTTCTAAATTTTTAATATTATTTTTATTTTTTATTTTTTTTTTTTATTGATAATACAAATAAAAAAATAAATAAACATTGTAAATTTTAATTTAGTCTATTTAATTAATATTTTTTTCTTCTTCTTCTTTTTTTTTTTTTAATACATAAATTGTCTTTACGAATAACCAGTTTTAATGGCTCAGAGGTACAAATGTCAACTTGTTAATACACTGAAACTGAACAAAATTTACTGTGTCATTATAGATTGACACGTGGTTAACAAGAGTGGAATGCTCAACGAACCGGTAATTTTACCCGACAAACCGTTAATGTTTAATAGAGCGGAACATTACACAGGGTCATCTGATAACCATGACATCTGACCCTCACGGAAAATTAAATTACAATTACATTTTTTTTTTCTTTTTGTTAGGGCGTTGTCTTTTAAATAGAAAAATTTTAAGCTATCGTAAATAATACGAAACAAGCTTAGTGATATATATCATAAATTAAAATAAAATATGTGGAATTTCGGATGTAATATATTACCCAGTTTGTAATCCGAGTCTTTAATAATATATTTAATTTAAATATTAATAATTACATGTTCTGAGGAAATGGTGAAAAAGAGTTAATAAGTTTTCGTAAAAAGAAGTGAGAGATACTGGTTTGTAAATTAAGAAGTTTTAGGTGATCACGTTGAAGGAACAGACCTCGTACAATCCCTTTATACCCAAAAAGAGCGCCTTTGATTAATGTTCCTGCAATTATTATTAGAAACTTCATTTCGGTTTTTAAAGTCATAAACAACCTGACCTAAAGTATTTAAATATTTGATATGTACACACTGTCAAGTAAATTTCAGAGTATACCCTGACATGAACTCGACATTTACTGTACGTATACCATAAGTAAAAAGTATGAGAAAGCTATGTATGTAGGAAGCTATTTTAAGTTAGGGGGTAGGGATGGGGTGAGGGAGCAACAAAAAAAAATCAGTAGGAGAAGGGGGCACTAAAGCAAAATTGTCTTGACAAGTTAAGAGAAAGGTCATCAAACGTAAAGCGTAAAGTAGCTATGTTTTCTATACTATATTTTACATTGGCAAAATTAGAGGAGGGGGGTCTCTACGGCCATGAAATTATACGATCTTTGCTATGGCATTTTTTAATGTTCTTAAAAACCACGTTTAACATAAGGGGTTTTAAACGAACTACCATAGAATTGTGTTACATCAGAAAATGATATTTAATATGTAATAAGAAATATTCGTTCAAATTATTAGTATTGATTGTTAAGTCTAAATAATATTGGTAAAATTGTATTATACAGGGTCACCCTTCATAAGTACCAGTACAGGTACCGGTAGTATAGTATTTATGTATAGTAATAGTGTCGTCTTGTGATTAATACAAGATCTGGTCCAAATTCAAGTCAGAATATGTACATTATTATTTCTCCAAAATGGGACTAAAATCACAATCCAAAATTCAACAAAAGAAACAAAATGTATTATCAGACCATCAATTTTGTTGGTTATAAATTTTCAGTTTACAGACGAGAATTAGAAAACATAGTCAGAGAGAGCGCCGCTCAAGGCTGTTAAAATACTTAAAAGACATGCATTCAGCCTGACATACTGACAAAGTGATATGAACCTTAAATTTAACTTATAACAGCTTTTCTCCTATAGTAAAGCTCTTCTGTGTAAATTTTGCAAATGTTAAGTTGAAAACAGTTCGAGTTGTCGCATCACAACAAGTGTCATGGATACACACGGACGGACAGACAGTGATATGACCCTGATCATAGATATCTTGCTCTAATGTTCATTTCATTGAAAATTTAGTTCTGGCGTTATAGCAGTCTTGACGGACGGATACACAGACAGATCACAAAATCTATAGGTGTCCTGCTCTTATAGAAAAGTACATGTACTTATCTTGCTTATGTACAAAATATGAAATATTTCGTTGAAAACTGTTTAATTTATCGCATTACAACAATGTTGACAGACAGACGGACTGGATGCCAGACAGATGGACTATCTGATTCCCGACTCCCGCTTATTCTTGCGGGCCCCTTATTAAGCATTTTTCAGACGAGTATGAATATTCAAATCTTGATTTAGCCTATCTATTAGGATTCAGAGACCAAAACAAGAGAAATCGGTCCCCTTCAACAGAAATCTATGGATAAATTTAGAATTAATTTAACTGTTAATGTCTTTACTATAATAAGTTGAAAAATCATTTCAACAATAAAGTGCTTTCTTTGTTAAAGGGAAAATAAAGGTTGCAGCTATTGCAGAAAAAAATACATAACCCACTTAACGTGTTATGTAAATTTTCTTTGCACTGGTTGCATTCTACTCACTTGTAGTAATTAATAATATAAAAAAAACTCAAACAAAAGGATACTGTAAGTTTATAAACGTAAAAGGAATGTTCTTTCAGATAAATAAAATACATGTATATGCATGCAAACAACAGCTTTACAAATTACAAACTGAAGAACTCATTCTTTCTTCCAAATTAAAAAAAATCATCCAGAATCAGAAATCCTATGAAGACAAACAACAGATGATTTTATTTACATAAATTCAGATTTTATGTATAGTTATTATTCTGACACAGTTGAAAACCAATAATGTTTTGTTTTTGAAAAGTGCATCCATAAGCACACATGTACAACACAATATATTTTATAAAATGTATCGGAATGCAGGCCAAATGAAAAAAATACCAAAAAAAACCTTTGGGACGAAAGGTTTTATAATTTTCATAAGATTAATTATGATGTATAGAAAAAAAATTATCTTCAGTGTCACATGAGGCAAATACACTGGTCCCACTTTAACTCAACATCTAGAATCAATAAAACATCTGTACTTGTTTGTCACTTTTAAACATCAGAGATTAAGTTTTTAACTCAGGTGACTAGATCCAGCATGTCACATTTGGCCTTTGCCGGCAGCCAGTTCGCCGCAGTTGGGACATTTTTTGAGTCGCTTTGGGATGCAGTCTTCACACACCCGACAGCCACAGGGGTGTATCTTTAGCTTGGCGTCCTCTTCCTCACACACTTGACATTGCGGCGGTTTTTTAGGACGTACTGATGGATCCCTGTGTAAAGTAAACAAATTATACTTTGAATACGGTGTTCAGTAGTTTGCCTTCCTTCCCATTGATTTGATTTTCAATCAAACATTCAATTTACTGAAATCTGCCATGCTAAACAACTGATCTCATTAATTACTTTAAATGTGGATATTTTTATGGGTTAAAATTTTGTGATTTGTAACAAAGTGTTTGCAATTGGGAGTTATTTTTGCAGAAGTTAAATACTTTACAAAATGTGTTGGTTTGTTGTTTAGTATTGTAAGAAGTTATATTAAACCATTTGCATAGCGATAAATTTTACAAAACTTGCAGAATTTTCAAAAATTTAAAAAAAATTCAAGAATTTTCCCCCTTACAAATATGTCCACACTTACAGTATATTTTTAAGTTCTCAAGAAATTTCTGTATTGTTATACTATTTGTGTGTGTGAGGGTGTGTGTGTGTGTGTGTAGAAGGGGGGTGCTGTTGACTCACATTTTTTCCTGTATGAGGTTCTCCACGCTCTCCCTCAATGTCTGAGACACGGCTACCTCCAGCGGCGTCTTCCCCTCGTTGTTCCTCAGCTCCGTCTGTACCTTATGCTGGATCAGTAGAGCCGCTATCTCTAGCTTCTCTTTCTCCAAGGAGCTGTCTGTTTGTCCAGAGTCTGCCTTCTGCATCTATAAATATTTCAAAACATTAAGTGTCATTACATGTGAGATTGTAATTTTTCAGATAAAGTAAAATATTACAGCATAATAGAACTGTTCTACTTCTGCTCTGTCTTTACTACAGTACGGCCAGTATAACCAGGTACCCCAGCCCCTGTTTAAGCTCTGCATATTCAATCTCACAATGATTACCTTTGCAAACTCCATGACAGCCGGTCTCCCCATCAGACACAGGTGGAGAGCATTATTTCCGTTTTCATCGGGGGCATTAACATTGGCCTTCCCTGACAAAAACAATTCATGTTTCTATTAGATATAAAATTATAGTTGTTATTGATTGCACAAAGAGATAGGTTAGTGACTACAAATGGCTGAAACACAAACATCAACATATTTGACATTAACTTTTATATACATAAACTTTTAACTTTCAAACATTATAACTACCTTCTTCAATGAGACATCTTGCCGTTTTGTAGCTGCCGTAAATAGCAGCGATGTGAAGTGGTGTTTGGCCCTCAGCTTCTGTCTGTTTTGCTGTCTTGGCATGCTGTTTATAATACAGTAACACAAGGTTATATAAGAAGAGAAAATACAATTTTGTAATAATCAGTTCACTATAATGAAGTTCACTACAAACAGGCTCTACTGTATCTCTCACAATGAATGAAAATACTCCCATGTTAGAAGGGAATCAAATACACTGATATCATGCTTACATTTTGCAGTAGGATTTTGGCGATATCATCATGATCCATGCAGGCAGCGAGATGGAGAGCTGTGTACCCATCATCCTTTTGTTTGTTTATGGCTTTAGGACATTTCTGTAGGATCTGACGCATAGCACTGAAAAACAGCAAGTCTGATTTTAGATTTTTGTTTTTCCGTTTTTCCTCAATATTACATTGCAAATAAAATTGGAAGAATTGAAATACTATTTGGAGTACATATGTGAATGTTCAACATACATTTTACATAGAGATTAACTTACTGCGTATCTCCTTTTCTGGCTGCTAGATGGATGGGTGAGAAACCCAGCTTATTTTTAAACTCAAGGTTGATTCTTGGCCAACTGAAAACAATATCTATGATTTCAGGATCCCCAACAGTGATGGCATCAGACACCGGGCTGTCTCCAAGTTTATCCTACAAGTGCATGTCCAAGAATTTCATTATTCAATTTAATTTTAAGGCTTGTAAAAATACTATTATAGCTATATTCAATTTCATAAAGCCTAGAAAATTTATGCACATGCAGTGTTCAGCAACAAATGTTAATTAAAAGGGCACTGAAATCTTACACTGAAATCAAAATTTTGTGGGACATGCATACAGTAAATTTGAAATCGAAATTCCTTTAACTTAAACCAATTAAATTTAATTCCTTGAACTAACAGCAATGTAAATTAAATTCCCTGTCACTTACAGTGATATTGAAGTCACATTTTTTCTGGAGGATCCTGAGGATGTCCTTGTTTTCCTTCTGTACAGCGATGTGGACTGCAGTCTGGCCATTATTGTTTGTGATGTCTGGGTTAGCTCCCCTGTCCAGCAAAAGTTGTACTACTTCTTTATTACCTCTACAAATAAAAGATTTCCAAAATATTGAAACAGCATGTTAGTTAATAAAATAAAGGTTAGTAACAACACATAATCTAGTTCCTCATTGTTAAAAAGTTTACTGCTGTAGAGATAACTTAAAAATGCTATACATTTTATATTACATGTGATGTTAGTATGGATCTCTATCAAAGAAGTAGATGCACTGTGGGGTAGATTTTTGCCCTGGAGTAGAATATGACTGTTGAGTGGGAGAGATTGGTGGTAATTAAGTCTTACTTTCTGACTGCTGTCAACAGAGGTGGAGCCGCTTGATTGTCCATTTTGGCCCCAAATTTCAACATGGCCTCCACAACAGAAGGATCACACTTCTCCTGATCACAAGCCAAGGTCAGCGAAGAGTAGCCATTCTCAAATGAGCAGTGCTGCAGAAAAAAATTCTCACGTTTAAAGGTGTACAACTCTCCAAGCATTACATCTGTATAAGTAGTTATCATCTCAGAAAGCATTGTTAAATGAATCTACTCACCACTAGTGCTGGAGTCCTCTGTATCATTTCTAAGACCTCTTTGCTTTTCCCTTTCTTTAGAGCCTCCTTAAACTTGTCTCTCAAGTTTGGATCTGCAGATTTGATTCAATGATCAGCAATTTACCAATAAATTTCATTTCATATTGATATATTTCTCTGCCTACCTAATTTTCACATTTTAAACCTATTCATTCTCAGTAGAAAGGGGAGAAATATGTAGTAAAATAATGGAAACAAGGGCACTGCAAAGCGGAACATGCCCTCAGAAATATGCACCTATATGTATTATTGCATAACTTCCATTATGCACCCACTCATCCACACAAGCATATTACTATATCCCCTCTAACTTAAATGTGAGGGGGTAACAAAGAAAGCTGATCATTGAGAAGGTAGTTTACCTGGATCTTCATACTCCTGTTCTTCTGAGGAGCTCCGTGATCTCCGTTCATCAGGGGAGGGAGAGCGTGATCTTGGTGGGGTGCGCTGTGGGGTACGTTGTGGGGTGCGCTGAGGTGTATGATCTGGAGTGTGTTGTAGTGTATTTTCTGGGGTGCATTGTTGAGTGGTGGTTGAACTTTCTTCCACTTTCTTTTCAGTGTCCTCTGATCGCTGTGGTGTTTCCTCCTCTTTAAATTCATCGGGACTCCCTCCAGATGGTGTCAGACACTCAGGGTTGAACTTAATTACCTGGATCCCAAAGCTAACTGTCACATCTCCGTCTGAGTCCACACTCACAACTCGACCCTTCTTCCCTAGGAACTAAAATGAGATTTTTGTATCATTTTTGGCAATGGCCTGCTACATTTAAATTGAATCAGCACATTATCTAAAAAAAATTTTTAACAAAAACAGTGCCCTGATGCTTAGATATACCTTTTTCATGCTCTCCTCCCATGGACCATGGCCATTCTGTAGATGGTGTACATTTGTTGCATCATTCTCTACTTTCACTACTTGGTCCTTCACATATTGCTCTATCTGAAATTTACACAGAAGCCTATAAGGTCTGCTGTACATTAGCATATCTGACATATTTCGCAGTTTCATGCAGCACAAGAAACTTTACCTTGGCCAAGGCCATTTCATGGAGAGTCCATTTCTTCCCATTAAAATCCACAGTAATTTGTTGTCCATTAACGAGCAATACTGACCCATTGACTCCAATACACTGAAGAAAAAAATACCAGTAATGATATAAAAAAAAATTACCATAGGATTGATTAGTATCTCAGACATTCCATCATCTTAAGTCTGACTCTCTGTTATTAAGTTTTCAAGAGAGAATCACTGTGTTTACTGTACCTCCACGATTCTTTCATTCCAGTTCTTGGATTCCTTGAGGATCATCTGGAGCGTATCTAGATCCACTCCTATCTTGACTTTGTCCCCTTTCTTCAGCCTCCCCTCCTCCTCAGGAGGGGCCTCTGAGGCACCCCCCTCTCTAGCAGCTTGGTTTGGTCCAGGTCGAGGCTGATCTGGCAATTCTGTTCCCAATATATATATATACTTTTTTGCAATGAAAAACTTCTAATGAATGAACTGTACTACTGTAGGTCACATACCATAAAACTTTACACCAACTATCTCTTGTGTTGCTTGTGCTCTTGTATTGACAATACCTTTGTTTAACTAAATAAACTGGTTTCAATAAAATTCAAGAAATAATATGCGACTGACAGAAAATACTTGGCCACTTCACGTATCATTTTAAATTGATCAAATCTAATTTTTTTTCGGTAAATCATAATGATTGGTAGATATCAAAGACATACTGAAGATAGGAAGGTGATCTTTGTAATAAAACCCTCCACTGGAAGCTTCTACGGCCTTGACATCGACACAGCCTTTGTAACCAAGGCGATAGACATTAGTGTGACCTGAATCCCAGGCGACCTCCACTCCGTCATGATCCGTGTCCAGGGTGAAGTTCACAATCGCAAGTACTGTACCTGTATTGCCATCCCCACCTTTAAAATTCAATTGAGTGAATTACAGTTTATACCAAAGAAAACAAATTCTGTAATTCGTAGATATTTTATAACTAAACAATCTAAATGTTGGCTCTTGGGATCAACAACTGACAACCATTATAGATATACTGCAAAAACACAAATTTGCTACTTAATACATCAGCAACTACTTAATACATATGCAAACTAAAATCCCCTTAAATCTTGGGGATAAGAAATAAAAATGTTACTATAATTTTTATGAATAGTCTTATGAATAGTCCACTTTAATCATAATCAAAATTTTTAACCCCATGGCAAACAGTCCTAGGAGAGTGGCAGGGATGGTGGTGTAAAATTATAGAATCACGATGCTGCCAGCCATGGCGTTGGTTTCAGAAAGAGGCTGGGTATTTTCCCTCCGTAATATTGGCCATCTATGGGGCCCCCAAAGGGGAAATCTTCCACTAAGGGGCCTCATTAAGGAAGTGAATGTGTTTGTTTGTTTCCCTGGTATAAACTCAGTTTATACTACTTATAAACTTTAATTATAACAAGAGGCCCATGGGCCACATCCCTCACCTGAGTAACTTTGGCCATGCTGTTCTTTACCAGATTTCCCCCCTTGTAATACCTATTGTGGCCCCGCCCTACCCCCCGGGGTCATGATTTGAACAATTTAGATTCTACACTACCCCAGGATGCTTCCATATAAGTTTCAGTATTTCTGGCACAGTGGTTCTTGAGAAGAAGATTTTTTAAGATTTTTCCTATATACTTCAATGTAAAACTTGGATTCCCTATTGTGGCCCCGCCCTACCCCCGGGGGTCATGATTTGAACAATTTAGAATCTACACTACCCAAGATCCTTCCATGTAAGTTTCAGCTTTTCTGGCCCAGTGGTTCTTGAGAAGAAGATTTTCAAAGATTTTTTGTATATTTTAGGTCACCTGAGTCACTCAGGTGACCTATTACTATCTCTTTTCGTCCGTCATCGTGCGTCGTTCGTCGGTCGTAAACTTTTGAACATTTTCAGCTTCTTCTCTGGAACCAGCAAACCAATTTCAACCAATTTTGGCATATAGCATCTATGGGTGAAGGGGAACAAAAATTGTGAAATTCGTGGCCCCTGCCCCCCTGGGGCCTGAGGGGTGGGGCCAAAACCATCAAAATTAATGCAATCTTTAAAAATCTTCTTCTTTACTCCTGGACATCAAGCAGTCAAACTGTTGGCTTGATTGTAATAAGCATTGAGCCCTCTACCAAAATTGTGAAATTCATGGCCCCAGGGTCAGGGGTTCTGGTGTTAGGGCGTGGCTATATAGATCATATAGTGAAAGTGCATTATTTCTTTGAAAATCTTCTTCTCTACTCCTGGGTATTATTGAAAGAAATTGAATACATAGTTATGATAAGCAAGGGTGACTCTACTGAAATTGTGAAATTCATAGCCCCAGGGTCAGGGGTTCTGGTGCTAGGGCGGGACTATATAGATCATATAGTGAAAGTGCATTATTTCTTTGAAAATCTTCTTCTCTACTCCTGGGTATTATTGAAACAAAATGAATACATAGTTATTATAAGCAAGAGTGACTCTACCAAAATTGTGAAATTCATAGCCCCAGGGTCAGGGGTTCTGGTGCTAGGGTGGGGCTATATAGATCATATAGTGAAAGTGCATTATTTCTTTGAAAATCTTCTTCTCTACTCCTGGGTATTATTGAAACAAATTGAATACATAGTTATGATAAGCAAGGGTGACTCTACTTAAATTGGGAAATTCATGGCCCCAGGGTCAGGGGTTCTGGTGCTAGGGCGGGACTATATAGATCATATAATGAAAGTGCATTATTTCTGAAAAAATCTCCTTCTGTACTCCTGGGTATTATTGAAAGAAATTGAATACATAGTTATGATAAGCAAGGGTGACTCTACCAAAATTGTGAAATTCATGACCCCAGGGTCAGGGATTCTGGTGCTAGGGTGGGACTATATAGGTCATATAGTGAAAGTGTATTATTTCTTGAAAATCTTCTTCTCTACTCCTGGGTATTATTTAAACAAATTAAATACATAGCTATGATAAGCAAGGTTGACTCTACCGACATAGTGAAATTCATAGCCCCAGGGTCAGGGGTTCTGGTGCTAGGGCGGGGCTATATAGATCATATAGTGAAAGTGCATTATTTCTTTGAAAATCTTCTCCTCTTCTCCTGGGTATTATTTAAACAAATACATGGTTATGATAAGCAAGGATGCCTCTTCCAAAGATCAGAGGTTCTGATATTAGGGCGGGGCTCTATTTATTATATAGTGAAAATGCATTAATGCTTTAAAAAGTCTTCTCTGCACCTGGGCATATCAGAGGCAAAAAGAGTAAAAGTTTTAATAAGGAAGGGTATTTTTACCAGATTTTTGAACATCAGAACCATTTGATCAAGTGTTCTGGTCCAGGCCAGGGCTCTATTAATTTTTATTCTATTGAGAGGAGTTATTCCCCTTTGCCATTTACTTGTGTTAATTAATCACTGTAAATAATGTACTTGAAAGGTTAATAGAATAGGAGAATTATGCAAGAATTTTTATTGTAAAATACAAAAAGTACTTTCATAGTTTTAATGATCAGGTAGACTTGTAAGTAACAGATAAATAAAAATGAGACAAAAATAACTTGTCTTATTAAATGTTCATCAAAGACCAAGAGAGGCCAACGCAAGAGATTTCAACAAGGAACTAAAAGAGTACAGACGCACTGATTATAAGTTTGTTTATATACTGTCTGGTGAGAGTGATAAATGGGGAACAGATTAGAACCTAATTTATATACTGTTAATGAACATTAGACTAATTATTTTGTTGATCCTGATCACCCTATTTTTCTTGCTTTTGGGCAACAAAGCTTCACCTTTCAGTTCATTTTATACTCTATGGATCCTCTAAATTGTTGTATTATACTCAGGTGACCGTTAAGGCCCTTGGGCCTCTTGTTCAATGTAAAACTTGGATTCCCTATTGTGGCCCCGCCCTACCCCCGGGGTTCATGATTTTTAAAATTTAGAATCTGCACTATCCCAGGATGCTTCCACATAAGTTTCAGCTTTTCTGGCCCAGTGGTTCTTGAGAAGTTTTTTTAATGACCCCACCGTATTTTTGTCTTTTCTTGATTATCTCCCCTTGTAAGGGGACTTTTATTTTAACAATTTACACTCCCCTTCACCCAAGGATACTTTGTACCAAGTTTGGTTAAAATTTGTCCAGTGGTTCTTGAGAAGAAGTTGAAAATGTGAAAAGTTTACGGACGGATGGACAGATGGACAGACGGACGGACGATGGACAATGGGTGATCAGAAAACCTCACTTGAGCTTTCAGCTCAGGTGAGCTAAAAAAAAAAGATCCAAAAAAAAATGTTGTCACCTTGATCAAATATGAAATCAGCATTTCAGATCATAAATTTTTGGTCGAGCTTTGCTAGAGGATGGACAGACAAAAGAAAGAATAAATCTTCCCTCTTCCAAAATAAACTCCCCACTTCTGTCAATCTTAAACAATAGTACAGTGTAGCGAGATTCTGATTAAAATAGTTGCTCATTACCCACCATCTTGGTTTTCCCATCTCCAGTCAATTCCTCGAGTCACCTTAGCATCTTCAAAAATCCCAAACAGCTTCTGTCTGCTGCTTAACTGCCTCTTAGGAACAGAACATCTACAACAAATACGGGAATTCTCACCTCTGAGAACATCCTCTAGGATTTATTATGATAAAAGAAGATTTACCTCCCTTTAGAAAAATCAATTTTGTACTGAAAACCAAATTTTATTATCATTGAACGACTTCAGGAGTTTAATTTTATGTTAAGAGTTACATAGTTTCTGTGAATAAATATATTTAAAACAATATGTATTTCCACATTTTTAAAGCAAACATAATTTGAGAGAGAAGAAAAGAAATGCAGCTTTATGGTTAAATATTTTAGTTTAAATAAAAGAAAGCAGCGACAAAAGAATTTGGCTTCAATTGCTTAATTACAACTATTTATTTATTTATTTTCTTTTTTACAGTTCTTGTGTCAATCAAGAAAATCAGGACTATTGACAGATATCCTCTCACCCCTCGTGACCGGGATAGTCAAACCGCGTGAACTTGTGGATGATGTCATGTTTGTCGCTATGGTAACATTTACTACACAGCACCACGTCAGAACATTGGTCACATTGCCACAACATCCCAAATATTTCCGGTTCTTCACAGCCTGGGTTAGTACACACTCTGTCATGCTTAATTCCTGAATCAGAATTATCACACTTTGGTACTGTACAGGTATTTTAGAGTGCATTTGTAAAACACTGATTCATGCTTACACAGCTATGTAGTTTAACTTTCTTTCATCACATTTATTATAAGCATTCATTAGTATTTGAATTCTATTCTATTCTTGGTGTTTAGGGCTAATTGTACAAACCGAGGGCTGATGTATCGTAGATCCTTAGGTCATATTGCCCTTCGTACCCCACTCTGTACATATTCCTGTAGCCTTTGTCCCACTGGACCTGAGCACACTTTGGGGGCACCTTGCCGGAACTCTCCTCATGTCCAATTTCTGCCACCGTCCCTAAGTGACCTTCACCTCCATCCTGGTCACCCCACGACCAGTTCTGTCCCCTCACTACACGGATTCCAATGTCAAATACCATACCTATGGTGAAAATTAATATACACAAGTATCTGTAATCCTTTTTAAGTGATATTTTACAGAAGGGTTCATAATTTTGAACTCTACTGAGTTACATATGTAATGAGGATTCATAATAGTAAATTAATTTATACATATTTCATTTTAAGTTCAATATTATACCAAGAAATTGCCTTGACAATCAAAGAAAGATGCACATTGAACAAAATTAAACTGAATTCATACCCTGCTTAGGAGATGAATGAAAATTAAAATGAGGTACATATCTTCTAGCCTGCATTACTACCCCCCCCCCCACCCCTTCTCAAAGTTGACTTTATTGGCGTAATAATATGTCATCATGCCCAGAATCATATGAAATATACTTAATCATAAGTCAACTTCAATCAGCTGTAAATGTTGATCAATAGTGAACTGAAACTGTAACAACTACAACTTCACTACACTTTCAATTTGGACAGTTTGATTTCTACATCACTTCAATGCAATACATGTACATATAGATTTTAAAATGTGTCATGATTCCAAGGCCTGATCTGTAGATGCTCGTCTAGGATCCTTATTTCACTACAGAATTAAAAGTGATAATATCTTTGAAATTCTATAATATTTTTTAATCATAGTGTATTTATTCATGGGATAAAAACTTTTACTTTGTATGTGTGGGTGTGTGTGTGTTAGAGTAATTTGAAACATCATGTACCAGTATACATTTAATTTACAGATCAATTTAATATTTAAAATAGTTAATTTCATTAACAAGTGATTAATAAATGGAAATTAAATTTTTATCAATTTTAATATTAAATCAAAAACAATATACTTGACATCGGTGATTTTATGAAAAAAAATCCATTTTCTTAATTTTATGTGAAAACATACAAAGACAAGAGGCCCATGGGCTGCAATGCTCACCTGAGTCAATATGACCCTGCTGTTCTTCATCAGCATTTTTTCTATCATATATTTCTGTGTAAAACTTTTATTACTATTGTGATCCCACCCTATCCCAAGGTGTCATGATTCTTACATGATTTAAAGAATTATTCATTTATATAAGTCCAGTGGTTTTTGAGAAGAAGATTTTTAAAAGATACCACCAAATTTTCACTAATTCTTAATTTTCTCCCATTGAAAGAGGGACTGTGGCCATTCATTTGAACAAACTTGAATCCCCTTCACTCAAGGTTGCTTTCTGGCAAATTTGGTTGAAATTGGCCCAGAGGTTCTGGAGAAGAAGTCGAAAATGTGAAAAGTTTAAAGACTTGGTGAAGGTTTACAGACAGACGGACGATGGACAAAATTTGATCAGAAAAGCTCACTTGAGCTTTCAGCTCAGGTGAGCTAATAATAATGGTTGCCACTGAATTAAAAAAAAAAAGACTCCATAAAAAATAATTAATACATATATATCTATGTTTCATGTAACTTTAAATATTAATATGATTTTAATATCCATTCGACAAGATCCTTATACTTTTTATAACATATGGTCAGGACTGTCTGACTTCAAAGAAAAATCAAGATTTTCTTTTTCTTTTTTTTCAGATGATATAAAAATCTTTAAGTTTTCTCTAACAAAATCCAAAAGCTATTATGAGCACAATTACATTGATGTTATTTATATATATACCTATTACATTTATTATCATATATTTACTATTTATTTCACAAACATACAATGTATCATATCATAGACAAATAAAACTATACACATTAGCGGTAATTAATTAAATTTTAAATTTTTTAAAATTAAATTTTAAAGGAGAACCTACCCAAAAGAATAAGACCTTTGATTAATCAAAATGAAAGTGGAAATTCACACAATGGAACAGGAAATATTTTGTTCTAAAAATAAGTCCTGTTGGTTTAAATTCCAAAAATAGAATACATTTCCGATTGTTCTAGGGAGTAGTAATTATTTACATTCTTGATAGGCAGCTGAAGTAAATATCTTAATACAAAAAATCTAGTGAGGTACTCACTGAGGCTTAAATTAAATTAAGTTCTCCCTTTAGTATTATTTTAATTAAACTTTGTCAGAAATGTAATTATTACTTTAGTTGATAAATTTTCAGAAAAATAAGGCTCTTCAATCATATTACATAATTTATTAAACTCAAATGAAGAATACTTCCCCTTTCCTCTTTCTGAGAATCTGCCTTTTTTTTTTAATCTGCCTATTTTTTTACGACTATACTCTACTTCTAACATTATCTAATTATGAAGAGGATGTACATGCCAACTCAAGTAATGTACATGTAATAATCTCTCTCAAGAGTAATGGAATTTTATGAGCTAAAATATCATTTATAATTTTACAGAGAGCAATTTTAAGTATAAATACTATTATACAGTAATGGACTATTTCAGTGGTGAATACGCTTCACCTCGGTCAGTATTGATATTCTTCTGGTGAAAAACAAACCATATTCATCACCTAAATAGTCCATATATATAGTATGGATTTGAATAAATAAGACATTGAAGGCTACATGACGAAACCTTTTTTTATTAATGAACTTCTGTCATGTAAAATTTTTTTTTTTAAATGTAGAGATTACATGTACAACGTATAACTTCCATGTTTTCCTTTCACTGTGTGTAAGAAATCGAAATGTTTGAAAAATAATCCTGCAATAAACTTTAGAACATTTTCCTGCTCCGAGTTGTATAAACCTCGTTTGAGGTTTTGACTGACGTCACAATGCCGCTGCACGTGCACCGACCCTTCGATGAATATGGCATCAAATCCAGTGAATATGTAGTGTTATAAACCGTTTGCATTTGTATAGATTTTTGGGACTATTTATAGACTATTTAATAAAAATCTTTATTTATTTTTACCACATTTGCTTTGTGAGGCTGCTGCAGTATTTTCCCCTGATTCTTCAGATATAGAACCACTAGCTCCAGTATCTGAAGAAAAAAAAAGACAGAGTTCAATGAGAGGAGTTCAGTTTCCCTGTCTCTTCACTATCATCAGCATTATTATCACCATCATCATCATCATCTACCTTCTTCCTCCTCAAACTGAAGATCGGGAGGGTTATACTGCTTCACACAACAGGAGGGGCTCAGCAGGTACTCCCCCAGTTTGGGGAATCTCACATACAGCGTTCCATCTCTGTCCACATCAAACACCTTTCCTAGTTTCCCAGGAAGCTGTACAAGAAATTGCATAAAAATTCAAATATCAAGCAGTATATTGAATCCAAAGTTTGTCTGAAACAAATTACAATTTTAAAACATGCTTATAACAAAGTTCCAGGGATGGAAGATTTTGCTTCATTATAAATGTAAGCTGTCATATCCATTAAGTTTACAATATATTTTAAAGCCAAAGGGAATGAAAATCACTTCACTATAAACATCAACTCATTATAAGAGTGTTTGCTATAAGTCTGTTTTACTGTACCTGTTCTATGATACAGTATACAGAATTAATTGCCTGTATCAATTAAAATTTGCCCCTTCATTGTAACAGTTTGAGGGTTTGTTTTTTTTAACTTCTTTTAAGAGCTCCTCTGATTTGTTAACTATATAACTATACAGTCCCCTTACAGCCTTCATGTCCTCAAGCCAGCCCCCGTGGTTACTCTGATTTGTTAACTATATGACTATACAGTCCCCTTACAGCCTTCATGTCCTCCAGCCAGCCCCCGTGGTTACTCTGATTTGTTAACTTTATAACTATACAGTCCCCTTACAGCCTTCATGTCCTCTAGCCAGCCCCAGTGGTTACTCTGATTTGTTAACTATATAACTATACCGTCCCCTTACAGTCTTCATGTCCTCCAGCCAGCCCCCGTGGTTACTCTGATTTGTTAACTATATAACTATACCGTCCCCTTACAGCCTTCATGTCCTCCAGCCAGCCCCCGTGGTTACTCTGATTTGTTAACTATATGACTATACAGTCCCCTTACAGCCTTCATGTCCTCCAGCCAGCCCCCGTGGTTACTCTGATTTGTTAACTATATGACTATACAGTCCCCTTACAGCCTTCATGTCCTCTAGCCAGCCCCCGTGGTTACTCTGATTTGTTAACTATATGACTATACAGTCCCCTTACAGCCTTCATGTCCTCCAGCTAGCCCCCGTGGTTACTCTGATTTGTTAACTATATGACTATACAGTCCCCTTACAGCCTTCATGTCCTCTAGCCAGCCCCCGTGGTTACTCTGATTTGTTAACTATATAACTATACAGTTCCCTTACAGTCTTCATGTCCTCTAGCCAGCCCCCGTGGTTACTCTGATTTGTTAACTATATAACTATACAGTTCCCTTACAGTCTTCATGTCCTCTAGCCAGCCCCCGTGGTTACTCTGATTTGTTAACTATATAACTATACAGTTCCCTTACAGCCTTCATGTCCTCCAGCCAGCCCCCGTGGTTACTCTGATTTGTTAACTATATAACTATACAGTCCCCTTACAGCCATCATGTCCTCCAGCCAGCCTCCGTGGTTACTCTGATTTGTTAACTATATAACTATACAGTCCCCTTACAGTCTTCATGTCCTCTAGCCAGCCCCCGTGGTTACTCTGATTTGTTAACTTTATAACTATACAGTTCCCTTACAGCCTTCATGTCCTCCAGCCAGCCCCCGTGGTTACTCTGATTTGTTAACTATATAATTATACAGTCTCCTTACAGCCTTCATGTCCTCTAGCCAGCCCCCGTGGTTACTCTGATTTGTTAACTATATGACTATACAGTCCCCTTACAGCCTTCGTGTCCTCTAGCCAGCCCCCGTGGTTAATCTGATTTGTTAACTATATAACTATACCGTCCCCTTACAGCCTTCATGTCCTCTAGCCAGCCCCCGTGGTTACTCTGATTTGTTAACTATATGACTATACCGTCCCCTTACAGCCTTCGTGTCCTCTAGCCAGCCCCCGTGGTTACTCTGATTTGTTAACTATATGACTATACAGTCCCCTTACAGCCTTCGTGTCCTCTAGCCAGCCCCCGTGGTTACTCTGATTTGTTAACTATATAACTATACCGTCCCCTTACAGCCTTCATGTCCTCTAGCCAGCCCCCGTGGTTACTCTGATTTGTTAACTATATAACTATACAGTCCCCTTACAGTCTTCATGTCCTCCAGCCAGCCCCCGTGGTTAATCTGATTTGTTAACTATATAACTATACCGTCCCCTTACAGCCTTCATGTCCTCCAGCCAGCCACCGTGGTTACTCTGATTTGTTAACTATATAACTATACAGTCCCCTTACAGCCTTCATGTCCTCCAGCCAGCCACCGTGGTTACTCTGATTTGTTAACTATATAACTATACCGTCCCCTTACAGCCTTCATGTCCTCTAGCCAGCCCCCGTGGTTAATCTGATTTGTTAACTATATAACTATACCGTCCCCTTACAGCCTTCATGTCCTCCAGCCAGCCCCCGTGGTTACTCTGATTTGTTAACTATATAACTATACCGTCCCTTTACAGCCTTCATGTCCTCCAGCCAGCCCCCGTGGTTACTCTGATTTGTTAACTATATAACTATACCGTCCCTTTACAGCCTTCATGTCCTCTAGCCAGCCCCCGTGGTTACTCTGATTTGTTAACTATATAACTATACAGTCCCCTTACAGTCTTCATGTCCTCCAGCCAGCCCCCGTGGTTACTCTGATTTGTTAACTATATAACTATACAGTCCCCTTACAGTCTTCATGTCCTCCAGCCAGCCCCCGTGGTTAATCTGATTTGTTAACTATATAACTATACCGTCCCTTTACAGCCTTCATGTCCTCTAGCCAGCCCTCGTGGTTAATCTGATTTGTTAACTATATAACTATACAGTCCCCTTACAGTCTTCATATCCTCTAGCCAGCCCCCGTGGTTACTCTGATTTGTTAACTATATAACTATACAGTCCCCTTACAGTCTTCATATCCTCTAGCCAGCCCTCGTGGTTACTCTGATTTGTTAACTATATAACTATACAGTCCCCTTACAGCCTTCATGTCCTCTAGCCAGCCCCCGTGGTTACTCTGATTTGTTAACTATATAACTATACAGTTCCCTTACAGTCTTCATGTCCTCTAGCCAGCCCCCGTGGTTACTCTGATTTGTTAACTATATAACTATACAGTTCCCTTACAGCCTTCATGTCCTCTAGCCAGCCCTCGTGGTTAATCTGATTTGTTAACTATATAACTATACAGTCCCCTTACAGCCTTCATGTCCTCCAGCCAGCCCCCGTGGTTACTCTGATTTGTTAACTATATAATTATACCGTCCCCTTACAGCCTTCATGTCCTCCAGCTAGCCCCCGTGGTTACTCTGATTTGTTAACTATATAACTATACCGTCCCCTTACAGCCTTCATGTCCTCCAGCCAGCCCCCGTGGTTACTCTGATTTGTTAACTATATAATTATACCGTCCCCTTACAGCCTTCATGTCCTCCAGCTAGCCCCCGTGGTTACTCTGATTTGTTAACTATATAATTATACCGTCCCCTTACAGCCTTCATGTCCTCCAGCCAGCCCCCGTGGTTAATCTGATTTGTTAACTATATAACTATACAGTCTCCTTACAGCCTTCATGTCCTCCAGCCAGCCCCCGTGGTTACTCTGATTTGTTAACTATATAACTATACAGTCTCCTTACAGCCTTCATGTCCTCTAGCCAGCCCCCGTGGTTACTCTGATTTGTTAACTATATAATTATACCGTCCCCTTACAGCCTTCATGTCCTCCAGCCAGCCCCCGTGGTTACTCTGATTTGTTAACTATATAATTATACCGTCCCCTTACAGCCTTCATGTCCTCCAGCTAGCCCCCATGGTTACTCTGATTTGTTAACTATATAACTATACCGTCCCCTTACAGCCT